TGTTCACTCTCGTCACAAACCAACCATCTTCGTACAGGACCCGGGTACTCCGCAAGTGTCTCGCACTCGCAGTTGTGCCAATTGAAGCCCCTCTCCCCTCCTCGCCGGGGCAACCATGAGTGACCAAATCAACTGGCTCCTGAAGCTTGCTCAATTTGGTTGTGCGATGTTGCTTACTGCAGGTGATCAGCCAGAGAATTCTAATTTTGATAGATTAACATAGCGTCCTGGCCTGTAGGTACACCGGTATGGCAATCTACCACTACGCTCTTATTCGAGTGCTAGCTACTGTCTATATGCACATTACTCCGGGCTATTTTCCTGCTGCATTCGGGCTAACCTCTCAAGGCCTGTGCTTACCGAGAGGGAGCAACGTGAGCTGGCAAAGTTGATGCTCCTTCACCGACTACGCGGGGCCTACGCCCGAAAAACCGGGGCGGTAAGCTAAACACGATGATATAATCATGCTGGGAAAACAACTTTGTACCAACAAAGATGGGGCGCCAGATACTGGAACCAATGAAATCATACATTCGACCTGTTGGTTCGCAACGAGGAGCTGGTACCCGCCACCTAGATACCTAGTGGGAAAAAAGACGAGTCGAAAGTTTATGCCACTATACTCTAGACCACCATATCTAGGCTTTGCGAGGTAATAGGGTCCAAGCAGTCATGCAAAATAGCATTGATAGTTGGAACAGAAGACCATAGGCTTCATAGAATTACCTTCACTCGTTCGCTATGAATAAGAACCAGACGCTACTAGCAGCATCTGAGCATTGCAGCAAGAGATATCGTGATCCTGAGGGGACCATGGTACCTAAAGTCTTGGAACACTGGAAGATGGTAACATCAAAAGTGATGCATTGCAGGGGAACTAAGCTCACGAGTACAATGATGAATCGACTATGCGTTGTTGGTAGATGCTCAATCACAGGAGACTATATGAACACTTCGAATCAATTGCCCGGTGAGCATGTATCGAAGCTACTCGACCAAAGCCAACATAATATGGCAGCTTGAGCCCAACTTGCACTATTTTTTAAAGAACAGAAATCCATACCGCCTGATTTCCAAGTTATTATATCGCCCCAAACTCTCTGGCTCAACTATCACCGCTGAAGCCTAATTGGTTTTTTCGAGGCACTAAACAATATACCAAACACATACTATCTGAGCCCCCTTTCCAAGTCGGACACTAATGATATGGAGACATAGACCGTGGGTATTTCGGAGCTGTCCATCCGTGGGCCTGCCTGTCAAGGATAACTATAGCATCTCTTCGTACTACATGCATTGTGATAATACCCGATAGATGCATCCTATCATTGTTTGGGGTTTGTGAGGCCGATAGCTTCGACAAGCAGAATATATATAGATAGTAAAAAGCTCTTCAGAGCCTTAATGAGAGTGTGCCATATCTGATCATTATTCGGGCTTTATCCATTTTCAGCTTTTGCCATCATGAGAAAAGTCTCTCGCTCAGGCATAAAACCTTCAATATCAGTGATATAGCAAGACAACCTTGCCCAGATGCCTAGATACTGGGCAGCAGGAGATATAAGGACACTGAGAGAGTGAGGTAGGTGGTCTGACACGAAGCAGAACATTTGTATTTTGTAAGATGGGTGTTTGTCTTGGTTTTATTGTGTCCTGCCAATCTAATGTATCCCGTTCTACAGAAGACCAACCACAGCGGCATACCGCTCTTCGTAACCAAGACGTTATCCTGAATTCTGTGGTTTTCAGCTAGGATACTGCGGCGTTGATATACTCAAGCTGCATCATTCAAACTCGTATGGACACTGACCAAGTCCTGATAATGGCCTATAAGACTGTTATAGTGTAGATTCTCTGACCATACAAGTCTCTGCCTATAAGATGGATACTATTTGGCTCTTTTTATGTTCGAGGAATATCAGCAGGTAGCCTTTCAGCTGCGCTTTGGTCGATCAACATGCGTGGAATATGTTCATATGTACTCCTTGTCGTTACAGAGATGATATGGGAGTGCTCGTGAGGAATGATGTCAAACTTTACCAGGTCGCCCAACAGTATGTCATTAGACATAGCATAGGAACGCTTTGAAACATTGACCTGAATCAATAAGATCCAAAAATGTGTCCCCTTCTTAACATGATGTTGTATCCAGATTCATGGCTGCGCCACTGTTGAGTATGGGGGCGGTGGGTCGCGTGAGCTGTCAGCCTTATTATGTAAGTGTCTACCCCGTGCCTGAGCTAAACCCGCAACCACTCCTCCGGATTCCAGAACCCCCTTTCCCGAACAATCTAGTATACCCCAGATATAGGGTATAGCTGGAAGCTCGAGTCATACCCGTGCCTGGAATGGCTGATATAGATACCCATATAGAACCTATACAACCTTAAGCCATGAATCGCAGGGACGACAATGAGCCGTCTGACCCCAATGCTCCCTTGCTCCCTTCCGAGCCCCGGATAGACCAGGAACCCCAATATGAAGGTCGCAATGGGCCGAAGCCTACTACCGACTTGGAACAAACAAACGGGTGGTTCATTTACGCTCTGACCTTCTCCGCCGGCATAAGTGGGTTGTTATTTGGTTACGAGTAGGTCCGATCTGGATAGCCTTCCCATCAATGACAACTCCAAGTAGAGAGTTGGTTGCTGTCATCCGTTATACTGACACTCTGCCTTTTGAAGCACAGGTGTCATTTCCGCAACCTTAGTATCGATCGGCTCCGACCTCTCTAACCGTCCTCTAACGACATTGGACAAGAGTCTCGTAACGTCCTGCACCAGCCTGTTCGCTTTGATTGCGAGTCCGCTAGCGGGAATCCTGGCAGATAAGTTCGGTCGCAGAAAAGTCATTCTCGTTGCAGACGTGCTTTTCACGCTCGGCGCTTTCATACAGGCTGTCACAAGTGCAGTATGGGGCATGATAGTTGGAAGAAGCATTGTTGGCCTGGCTGTTGGTGGAGCAAGTCTGGTGACTCCATTGTATGTTCAGCCCTTGCTAGTCCTTGCTAAAGGGATCCCCCCAAGGAGTACAGTAAGAGGGAATGAAGTTGACCTTTTGTCTAACATATCAACAGATACATCTCCGAGTTGGCGCCTTCCCATGCTAGAGGAAGGCTTGTGACGATACTGAGTCTCTTCATTACAGGCGGACAAGTCGTTGCTTATATTATCGGTTGGTTATTTTCCTCTGTATCTGGAGGCTGGCGCTATATTGTTGGCATTGGAATGCTCCCAGCAATTTTTCAATTTTTCATAGTCTTGGCTCTTCCAGAAACCCCTCGTTGGCTGGTCCAGGCAGGGTTCGAAGAGAAAGCTACGAAAGTCCTCTCCCGGGTTTATGGGAGCCATCCCGACAGTGGCGTCATGGCCAAGCAGGTTATGCGTGATATCCAGCAAGAAGTGGCCGAGGAGGAGGAAGAGTTGACTCAAACAAACAAGCCCTCCACAGGAAACTGGCAGTGGCTGACGAACGTTACACAGTGTGCTCGCCACTTGGTCCTCGTCGGTGGTAATCGGAGGGCATTGATCATAGCGGTTATGCTGCAAGCCACACAACAACTCTGTGGATTCAATAGCCTCATGTATTTCTCGGCAACAATCTTCTCCATGCTGTCATTCTCGTCACCAACACTAGTGTCATTGTCAGTGGCGTTGACCAACTTCTTATTCACCTTACTCGCATTTGCCTTTATCGATAGGATTGGTCGGCGCCGCATTCTCCTGTACTCAGTGCCAGTGATGGCTCTCTCCCTTATTGCTTGCGCTTTTACGTTCGGCTCAGTCGAGATGCCAAACCCCGAGTCGAGGGTACGGGCGGAAGATGCCACAAGTGATAGCGCTTTCCTCCCTGTTGTTATCCTGATATGCCTCACCGTTTATGTGGGAGCTTATGCTTTCGGACTTGGAAACGTGCCTTGGCAGCAATCAGAGCTCTTCCCCTTGAATGTACGCTCCCTTGGATCAGCCTTGGCTACTGCAACGAATTGGGGGTCAAATTTTGTTGTCGGTCTTACTTTCCTGCCTATGATGGAATGGCTCTCTCCTGGATGGACATTCGCGGCCTATGCGGCCGTATGCGTGTTCGGTTGGTTTGGTATCTACGCTATCTATCCCGAGATGAGCGGGCTTCGCTTGGAGGAAGTCAAGGAACTTTTATCAGATGGCTGGGGTGTTCAGGAAAGCCTTAGAAGACGTCGTGGTCGTCCTGGCGTGAGCTAAGGGGCTGGCTTCTGCTCATACGTGGCCAGCGTGCGGACTTTATAGACATTGTTATCAACCACAAACCTACGTTTTAAAATTAATTTTCTGGATCTAGATTGATGTATTATTTATGCATTACTTGACCTGAAGAAGCGCACATCTTACCTCCGGTAGCTGATTTTCTGTATGCACTCTTTTCCTCCTTGCAAGGCCTACCGTAGTGAGATCAAACTGACAGCAACATCCCCTATCTCGAAACGGTATACTTCATTTCGAAGAGAGCTATATCACTCTAGGTTAGCATGTAGCAAGCAGTACCATCATCCAAGAGAGCAAAAACTGATCATTGTACTCATGTTTGAAACATAATATCGTGACATAAGAACTGCCTTTCATATAGCTGAACACCGACTCGCTCTTTATTCAAACCCTCTTCACTCTCGGTCCTTATGGGAGCTATATACCTTAAGCACAGCGGCCTTCTCTGACTCTCCGTATACATACGCGAAGAAAAGTGTAAATCCATCATCCTAAACATCTTCCTGCGTGGCTCGAGAACATAAGGCAAGTGGCTTGTCACCACTGTACAGCCTCTGATAGGCATTCTCAGTCACAAGGAACCCTAACGAAGATGAACTCTCAAATACCGACCAAGGCGGAAAATTGCTCTCGTAACTCCTTTTTTCGCTTGCCCACAGAGGTGACAGTTCCTGCTATAACCATTAATCATGATTGCACTGCTAAGATTGTCCATAGATCATTCAGTATATTGCTTACTTGTTACCTCGCGACGTCGATATGGTAAATTTCGCCCAATGCTGCCCTTGGCTAGCAGCAAAAACACTCCCTGGTCATTCTTCCATCTGGCGAAGCCGCTTCACTGACCTTTACGACGTTATTCGACATTATGCTTCCGATGAAGTCAAAGTTGAATATCAAATTCGAGCCATTGTCCTCTCACAATCCATCAGTTTTAAATTCGGCCAAAAGGAGGCCCAGACTCTCTGGCTGGAAGTCCTACGAGATTTGCTACGTGAATCATACTGTCTTCTAGAATCGAACGGGCCATTCACTTCTAAGAACCACCAAAAGATTCGAGACATACTCTCTAGCTCTGAATTTCTGAACAGGCCCGTCAGCGGCTACAGTCAGAAGGATGCAGGCCCGCCTTCCGATCTCTTCTGTGCAACCCAGTTGGTAAGCACCACAGATGTCATATATGAGAGAGCGTAGAAACTGACTCTGACAGTGCCTGACCGGTTTAGCTCTGGATCCTCTAATGTCTGTTCAGTGTCTGAGGACAGACTATGACGTTGGCGTCGTCTATGATTACAGGGCTGAGAACAGCAGACCAATTGTGCTTGAGAATAAGATCGACCTGGAGAAGTTACTTCACATACGCAACTTCTGGCTTCGTCATCTTCTCTGCCCAACTGAAGCGACCTTTCACGCTTCTTATATTAACCTGGCTCCACGCTACAAGCCCAGATCATGGGGTGAGCTTGCGCCTTCTGATGATGAATTGCCATGGATGGGTTATGCATGTCAGTTAATCATCTGTTATCCAACCATACCATGAAGATAAGCGAGTGTTAACTTGTGTGTAGCATGCGTCCACCCATACCCGAGATCTCTGAAGATCCTCGAGGATCGCCAGACATGCGCTGATCTGGATACTAATTGTGCACAAGTCCGGTTTCAGGTATTGCACGAAATACTCCAGAAAAAGGAACCCAGCTGATTCAATGCCTGCTGTGTAGTCTCTTTTAGTGAAACCCGATCCCAACCCCTTGAATTGGCCACCTATACTTCAATCAGTAGTTCCTCTTGATCCTCTGAACTTCGAACGATCATATTTCCGTGGAACACGGAGGACACCTGATTACGTCGTTCAGCCCCCAGATCTGGTGCGAGGATTCTGTGAACCGATTGCCGATTTTCAAGGGGGCTTCTCTGGCTGGCGTCGCATTTGCTTCGTGATATATCAATGGGATCAAGAGCAGCCGCCCGTTCCTTCTGCTCATGATGGCATAGAGCCCGCTTTGGATGAGAACGCATGGCTTTTCGAGGCAAAATGGCCGCCACCGGACTTTGAGTCTGATTTTTACTTGGTACAGGTTTACGAGGGCGTCATCCTACCGGAAGGTAGAATAATGATCGGAACTTGGATAGATCTGCTGGAGACACTGGACAAGGGTCCGTTTATCTTCTGGAAACGATGATGTTTTGCCTGTTTTTGAGCTCGTTTTTGATTTTTGACAACGTCGGGGTCGGATGAAATACATGGCAGGAACCCAGTTTATCCGTTATCACACATAAGATATGAAAAATGAAACTTAGGGGAAATGAAAATCTGAAGCCTACTCCTCGATATCCTTTACCTTCTCCCATTGTCCCTTGAGGTTTTCCTTCCACAAGCTGACCTTGTTATCGCCACCGCTCACAGCAAGGATGTTTCCACTAGGGCTCCAGCTGACGCGCCAGAGGACAGTGTCGAACTCGAGTTGCTGGCTGGTCCACTGGCCAGGGTTTGACGCATCGGAAGTCCAGATCCGGACTGTCTTATCTTGAGAGGCAGAGGCGATGTAGGACTTGGAAAGAACGCTGGGCGACCAGGCAACATCCCGGACCCAGTCGGAGTGGCCTTCCAGAGTCTGCGTGTTGTTGTAGGTCTTGGTTTCCGGGCTGCAGAGGCGTAAGGGTCAGCTCAGTTCATTTTAAAGCACAGTATCTGTGTGTAGCGGCTCATGGTGCATACTTGTAGTCCCAGATCTTCAGCAGGTTGTCGCTTCCACCAGTGACGAATCTCCGCTGCTGGCCCGGTCTAGGGTTGGAGCTGATCAAGCTGCCAGGGGCGGCGGCAGGTGCCCAGCTGATAGAATTCACACCCATACCGTGGGCGTGGAAAATCTGGTGAGTCCAGCTGTTGTCACGGAATTCGAGAACGCTAACATGTCCGTCTGAGGAGGCGCAAGCCAGGAGACAGCCACTCTCATGCGGAGCCCAGGATACCATGTTCACTGAAGCAGTGTGTAGAGAGAAGTCAAACACCTTCGTCCAAGCGCCGCCAGCGACGGGTGACGTGGCGTTCTGGTGTTGTTCGCGCCAGATGAGCACCTTTCCATCGTACGAAGAGGAAGCGAGGATAGTTCCGAACTTAGGGTGCGCCTAGAGAAGTCCAGAGTCAGATAGATAGTTCAATAGGACAGCTTTGACCAAGAATGCCATTATGACGTACCCAAGCCACACACCACACAGCTCCTTCATGTCTGTTCACACACGGCCGGAGGTTAGAATCGATGGCGCGTAAGATGACCAGGAAGTTCTGGATCCTCACCCCTTCAATGTCTCAATCAACCGATGTGTCTCTCCTTCAATTTCAAAGATCTTTATCGTTTTGTCCGATGAACATGTTGCCAATCTGCGGCCGTAGTAGTCCAGGCCGGCATCGTGCTATGCGCTGCGGTCAGTTTCAGGGACCACACAGAAAGGGACGAAGCCATTGTCACGATGCCGTAGGAGGGTCTGTCTCGGTTCACGTACAATCATCTCATCGTGTCCGGAATTGGAGATTACTTGAGCAGCCTAGTTGCTTGGACGTCAGCGATGTTCATGGGCAATTCGCCTGGGACCGTTTGAGGGGAGTTGGGGGACATACCATATTGATCAACTTTTTGCTCGGAATTAAAATCGACTCTATAGGGTGAACAGGGACGTAAGCTCGTGGGTGGCCCTGCCGGGGAGTATTAGGGGGGTTCTTGGGGGGTAAGAAGGCGGTGGTGGAGGGCCGAATCAACACGCAACAGGAGAAGCAGCAGCAAAACACCGCCAGCTTGTCCGTTTCGCAAGTCAGCCGCAGCCCGATCTTATCTTATCGGCTCAGTCAGCCATCTCCAGTCATGCTCATATACACGTGATCCGGGGGCCTCGGCAGTCCTCGGTCGCTCTGCCCCGCGGCCTGTCCTCTGGTCTCCTTGGCTGTTACTACTCTCTCTTACTTGCCTTTGCCTCCTCTCATTCTCTTCTTGTCTTCTGTTGAACTCACTTCATTGCTTGCTCTTGTATATACATCCTGCATTCCTAAATACTACTATCTGTTGCCTGTTCACTACGCTTATTGTATATCCTCTTCTCCTCACCACAGCAAGCAATCCGACACGCTCCATCCTCTCAGCTCGTGTTCAACCTAGTCTCCACCATGAGTGATGCTCTGTGTGGTCCCTCGAATGCGCTGCAGAACTTCCAAAAGCATGCGTCTGTTGATCGTACCCTCCAGCAAGATAGAATTATTTCTCGACAATCGCCTTCTCAAGTGAGTCTCTCTCCGTGAGCGTGTTTAACCGAATTGTACTCATGGAATTACCAGGGGTTTCGATCTCAAAATTCAAGCCATGGGGTTCTCGATCCCGAATTTGCTGCATTCGAGTCCGGTCTAGCAGGAGCGCCCCTTCCCGATGTACAGCATGCCGGCCCTTTCGTTCCTCCCTCTCATCAGTTTCCCGCATCAGGCCCGGCCGAATCGTCAAACTGGGCGGCAGACTTCCAGAATATGCATATATCGGGACCTTCGCATTCTCTCCATCAAACATCAGGACCATCTGTAGCGCCGATGGCAGCCATGTCACAACAGGGTTGGCAGAATGAGTTCGCTCAGCAGCAACGACCCTCTTTCCAGCAGCATCAGCCACATGTCCAAGGGCTTCAGCCAACCTTTGCACCTCGCTTCCCTATGACTGGTACTGCTTTCCCCCCTGCGCAAGCCACCGCAGCAAACCAGCAACCGATGGCCGACACATTTGATGAATCGGCGTTTGAAGCTGCATTTGAGCAGGCGCGGGCAGACATGATGTCGCAGGAAACCGAAACTACACCTGTACACGCCGAAGAGGTCGTGGAAGAGACGAATCATGTTACGGCTGAAAGCACGGAAGAGAAGATCAAGATTGGATCGGATACCATTCCCCAGACAGAGAAGAATGATCAACAGGCACGGGTGAATGATGCGGACGAGCTCGCCCGAACTGCGGGGCAGCTTTTAGACAGTGTCAAACATGATCAAAGCCAGAAGTTCAGAGAAAGCAACTTCCTTGCCTTGATGCGCCGCATTCGCGACCGTGAGGTTCAGATCGAGGGGGATGAATTTCGCGAAGTCAGTACCAGCAGTCCGTGAAATGAAATCAAATTCGGCTGGCGTGGAACGAACGCTGGTATAATCAAGTCTTTGCGCGCCGGCCTTTGTTTCTGCTAATCAGTATCTAGATTCCGCATCCACTGCACCCAGGCGGCAAATATTATCCGGAACGTCGGAAAGAACGGCAAGGGCAGACAATAGGAGATACGGACCATCATGCCCGCGGAGACGCTACACCCAACACTACGAGTAAGTTTGTGACGTGCCAGGCGGCCTATTACTACTTCGCATGATGGATCAGGATGATAGGCTGGAAAAGCTAACCGGGTTTCACCGAATAGGCGCCATGCATGGGATTTCGTCTAAAGGAAACTCCGCCTCAATCACAAGTGGAAATAATCCGGAAAGCTCACCTGGTAGCTTCGGCCCTAGCGGTGATTACTCTGCATACGGGGATTGGCGTCATGGGGACCGCTGGGCTTAAAGTAATCATTTGACTTTCCAATTCAATTCTTGGGGCTAGGAAAGGGAATGTATCGGACTAGCCGGTTGATTTATGGTCTCTCGGGATCACGCAAGTGCCGAGCAGTCCTTGTTGGTTGGAAGTGTCAGACTCTAATCCGTCAGAATTGGCTGTGTCTATTCAGATGCTCTATTCATCCTTTGAAACTCCGGGGTGGCACCGCACAGGGACCCTTGTTTTCTCTGAATCGACACGTGACCCTATTCCGCCTATTGATGGAGGAGAACAATATCACAGCCAGAGCACGTCAATTCGAGACGCAGGTGGCATTGTTATGAGACAATGTTGACCATTACGGGCTGTGTGATGCACTCCTAAGCCATTTTGGCGCGATAGGGGTATCGCTTTTGCCTGCTAGTGGATGGTGTCGAGAGACAGTTCGTTTAATGATGCATCCTAGTTACCTCGATAGATGTTTTTGATAGCGTTTATTTATGTCAATTGCATGCTATTGTTCTTAGCGGCAGTGACCAATCCTAACCAATTACTATTTCACCCATCCTTTCATCCTGTTCTTTAAAGTCCGGTCTCCTTTCCGTAGGACAGTCTTTCGTTGCCACAGTGCATCACATCTATACCAATCTTTTCATCCTTGCTCTATGACTTCTAGCGCTTATCAGACCGAATTCTACTCACAATGCTTCCACCATCTGAATCCATCCTTCATCAATTCCACAAATTAGCCGAATCACAAGAAGATTCCGATCAGACAGACACCATTACACCACCTCCTCCATACTCTCCTTCCGCTCACAATCTCCAAAAAGAACTTGAAGCCGAAAATGCCTCCTCTCATGGGGAAACAGACCAAACCAGCCTCATAACCATCCACATCGACGCATCAATGAGCATTCAGGGCAACGCAAACAGCATCATCCTCCCATCAGCTCCAGCTCCAGCTCCAGCCCCAGTATCAACCCTCAATCCCCAGGCATCACCCGCTCTCATTCCATCCTTAACATCAACCTCCACCATCCCGCAGTCAACCCCATACCAGCGCCATTCCAAATTAACAGACATGGCCACATCAATCATCACTGCCTTACATCGTACGGGTCATCTCAATTCTACCGACAACTCCGGTGCAGCAGCAGATAATGCAAATACATCACCATCACCATCCATTACGCTGAATATCAACACTGGGATCAAAATCCTGGGAAGTGGGAATGTAATTTGCGTGGGAATGGGTGGACAGCAGAGAGGAATGGGAATGAATGTGCTGAAGAGGAAGAGGAGGGCTTCTTCCGTGAGTTTTGTATTCCTCCTTTCCCTTGAATTGTTTTCGCTTGGTTTATTCTTGGGACTTTGGTGTATGGGGTTGTGGGCTTCTGGCTGATTAATTTATTTTCTGGGACATAGGAACCGCCGGATGTAGGTACTACTGCTGCTAAGAGGGCGCGGTAGTGTGCTTGCAGCTTTCTCTTCTCTGGCGTGTGGTATGGAACTAATTGGGTAGTAGTAGATGGAAGGCGGAGTGACCTTTTCGCTCTGTGCGTGTGTGTACTCTTTCGTCTTCTCTTTGACGCTTTTCCTTTTGTGTCTTGTTGTGTTTTTCGTATCTGATTCTGTTTTACTTGCTTTCTCTTATCTCTTCTTGATGGGTTTAATAATGCTAGGTGGGGATAGGACATAATATACGACTGGCCTGTGGGGAAAGTAGTGGAATGGATTGATGATATATAGTAGCTAAGATAGAGAGCCATTTCGTTCCGGATTAGTGTTGGTTAGTTCTAGTTTAGTTTAGATTGCCTGTGTTTCCTTTCTCATAGAATTCCATCATCGTGTTCATACTGTGTTTTTAAATTGGTTTGCATTGCGTGTGGTCTGTTTACTACTATAATTAGGATGGTGATGGTTGAACCGAGCACCTCTAGCAAGATATATATATATCCATCGTCGACTAGGGCCAACCGCAGCTGTCTAATAGAGTATATTCAGAGTATGAAGTTACAGAACAATACAGTCAATAGTAACCTATTCAAGACGCGTAAATTTCCAGACATATAAACTCTCTTCGCACCTTCTGCTATGACGCTGAAACTATCATACAACACATCAATCGATAACAAGACTACTGTTTAGCTACCACATAACAATTCCGTTTGATCGCCCACACAAAAAGGACAATAAGTCCAGAATAGGCAGGAATACCATACTTCAAAATGAGAAAGAAAAGGAAACAGAAAAGTGCCCACCAGATCCTCGTAACGTAGTATACCAGCCCAAACAGACCAACACCCCACTGAAGCAAAAGTAAAATAAAATTGATCACCGAATATCTTAGAGTCCTTACAAACCCAACCAAAGATGATGGAGAATGAAATAAAAGTGGCCCAAACCTATCGCCAGAGAAGCAAGGGTAGGTACCAATCCATCAAGAAGAACATATTAGGGAGAGTAAGAAAGTGAAAAGCAAAAGGTAATGGAAAGTAGTTAGGAAGATTGAAAGTATGGAAATAATGAGAAACGCCTGCCCCAACTATAGAATAGAGGTTCATTAGAGATATCATCAATCAGATAGTACATTGACTGGGGGTGTGTGATGTGCTTGTTTCGGCACGGGGAAAACACAAGGCAGGCTGATGGGAGGTTGGGGGCCTTTTTCGACGAGGATTCATCACGTCAGGGATACTTCGTAGGTTATGTCACGAAATAGCCGGCCTGTGGAGAGAAAGAAACAACATGGAATCAGACTCTGGCTCTGACCCCCTGCTTGAGGTATCGTAGCAGGGAGAGGGATCGATCTCACCTCTGCCGTATAGGTACAGAGCGTAGAGCCGGGAGTCAAAGAGAAACATCTACGCTTATGCAATCCACCAAGTCTACTACCGGCCGATGGGCATATCGTGACGGTGTAGATCTCTGGACCACTCGGGAGCCACCTTGTCTCGTTCGTACAATAGACCACAGTTGTGGCAGAGAGTCTGTCGCAGTTAAGTCAGCATGTATTCAATTAGAGATGTGGCATATAGATCTTACTCTTGGGCCTGCCGGGCCATCTCGTACGGCCCAAACGGCCGTACCCCAGACCATACAGTTGGTGCATCTCCAAGTTTGACGCTCCCTATCGAACAAAGAAGGTGGTCAGTATGCGCACTATGAAGAGATATTAAAGGTATGACAAACCAGTCGGCAAGTGTACCGCCACCTCCACCATAGCCAGCTCCTGAACCAGTGTCCGGAGTCCCTCGTCCTCCAGGGGTTCCTCCTCTCCCCGACGGACTTAGACTGCGGAATCGTCTCTTTCGTTTGCTCCGTTCGCCTCTTCCTAGCGGCGTTTCACTGTCGACGTCAAAGTACCCACTGCCCTGTCGGGAGGCGTCGGGCGTTATGCCTGCAGTGGAGGAGAATCTGGCCGTCTCTCGACGTAGACGACGAATCTGACGTTCGCGATCACCCTCACGCTTCTCGATTTCCTCCTTTGACAGTGTCTCCACTTTAGGTTCCCATTCGTCACCCAGTCCCTCGGGATCGTAACGCCAGCCCGCCTCCGCGCCGTTGGCAGCTTGATTGTCGATCTCGTTACCATAACCACCCATGCCGCTGATAAGTCCACCACTTTCGCATACTTCTTTCTTTAGTCTCAGAGCAGCTTCGTAGATACCATGCGCAATGGCTCCGACCCATTCCCCACCCAGACCAAGGTCCGCGCATGTAATCCTGGCAAACTCCTCTGCCATGCCTGGAGGGTGCAATAGAGACCATTCAAACTTATCCGTGTAAAGTTTATTTTGCAAGTTGATATTCAAATTGATCATGCACCGATACGCGTCGTCCGGGTTTAGTATGCTGTCGTTCACGAGAGGCTCTTTGGTCACCGTTACCTGGTTAGGTCTGCTGTCAGGTGTCGCGGCGTGGGTGGAAACTGGTGTAGCAGATACATCTCGTGACAGGCCAATCTGCGGAGCTGGGGGCTTTGGCTGTACGCTCTGGAATAAAGGATGCAGGGCAACGCCGGCATATTCCTCCAATTGTTGACGGATCTGGTTGCTAATAGCCATCGTCATGGCCTGTGGATTCGGTAAATCCATGTCACGGACGAACCCTACGGCGAATTCTTCGGGAGTCGCAAGAGCCTCGTGAAGATTCCAAAGGAACGTGTCTTTGATGCGATAGGCAGGCAGCGCCTCTGGCCGTCTGTAGGCGGGCAAGGTAGGGTTGATACTGGGATCGAGGACTGTTCGCGGCAAAGGGAATGGTTCTAAAGGTTGATGCGCTGGGACCTCCAGATCAATTCGGATAGGTATAAGGGTAAGAGGGAGCTGCGCTTGAATTTGCAGCTGATCGGCGCAACTGTGTGAAGGGAGAAGACTCCAAGTCAGTACCATAACAAATGCCGGAAAAACACAGACGCAAACTGGAAACGCTTAAAGAATCAGACTGAGCGGCACATACGCTGGTCGCAACATCCTCTTGATCATCCAATCGCGAAAAACCCCTTGGACCTCAACAGGGGCGTGGATCTCTTTCCCCAGCTTCTCCGCCAGCGGCACCTTGTCGAACGTTGACTCCTCCCGTCGAAGGCTCCTTAGCCCAGTTGGCCGCCGAGGTCCCTCGCTGTCCTCAAAGTCTTCATCATCGTAACCATCTTCCGCATAATTGATGGCGGCGGTTCCTCGCTTGGTCGTCCGTGAAGTCGGGCCAACTTGGCTAGGTGGGATGATCGGGGTGAGAAGCGCATTGCCATATTGGCGCACACGAGGCGGGTATGATGTGATGTAGCCTCTGAGAGGGGACATGTTGGCCATTTAGCTGGTCAGGGACATGTCCCTTTCAGACACTGCGCAAGTCGGTCGGCGAACAGGGCCGCGTACAATCCGCTGGACGAAAGGGCTGACAGCAGATGATTGGAAACGATGATTTCAGAGTGTTATGGCTGAGGTATCGCTGCGCGGGTAGGAAGCGCCTGAAGCGAACAATTGCTGAAGGAAATCGCGGTTCCGGAATTGAGGCTGCGAAATGGGGATGGTGAAATGAAGCCAAAGCTGCTCTTTGACGGTGATCGCGGTCGAGCTCCGCCTTTTCTGCTCGTCGCGTTTTGCCAGAACTGCCGGCCTTTCCACGCTAGGCCCCTTCCAGCCATATAATCACGTGATGTACATACAGGCAAGCCTGTCTGGAGAACAAGAACACAAACTTGGGAGCTACAAAGTTCATTTTATATTGAAATCTTGGGCGACTGCCATGTAATCCTCGTGTTATTTTGCGTATATTGTAGAGACACATTATATGGATTTCCAACTCGGCAACAGAGTCTTTCACATTGTCAAAGCCCAGCAACAGGGAGGGCTAAGCGGCCAAAAAGGTTTAAGACAAAGCAGGATAGGAATGAAATTAGATGAAAATACAGATCAATGCATGGGGTCCGGCCAGCTAATGAAAACTATAAACAGGATTACACAGTACCCAATGATAATTGAATACGCCATCCCTCTTGTCTGTTAGGCTGCGGATGCAGACTCGGGATATAGGGGATATCATCAACTCCGCAAATGTGCACTGGGCAACGCAGGGGAAAAAAAAAAAAAAAACAAAGAATGGGCTGCTAACAAAGCGATTCTAATATGCATCGACGAGGACGAAAGAAATCGCAGGATAACGGCGGAGACCAAAAAAAAGTCCATTGGTACGATGTGACCGCCGCGAGAAGGCTATCGAAGCCCGATTACGCTCTGCAAATATTGGTTAGATCTTGAGATATATGATAACAGTAAGGGAAAACTCACCATCTCTAGAGTCCATACTCTACGAATCCAAATTTTCACTTTGCCTTCAACTCCCTCCACATCATCCAGCTCAACTCCTTCCCACCAGCATCTCCTGGCTGGTTTCCTCCAGAATAGAAGGAGCTTCTGAGCCATGCCAACTGCGTTGTTGTTCGACAGGTCGCCCCGGATATCGGTACGCAGCTTGGCCAGCGCCAGGCTGCATATTACCGCCTTGTTGGGCTCTGGGGCCCGGTGGCCCCATCGGTCGTCACGATCAAACCCACTGCGATCAGTTAGTCTCGAAAAACATTCTTTGTATCGCCTATTGGAGTAATGAGTGGAAATAGTCAACTCACCCTGCAGTAAGCATCTCTATGAGATGTTGCTCTGTCGAGCCGGCTTCGTCGCTCTTTCTCAGCCCAGAAAATATCCCGTCTTGTTTTAACAATGCTTTTGCAGCCGCGCGCTTGACCTCGATCATCTCCGCCTGGTCTATATCTGGGCGAGGGGGGATCGCATAGAAATCGAGATCCTCGCGCAACACTATGATACCAGCACGGTCCTGAAGCATATCCCTAGCAGTCCCTTGCATGGAGTCGGGAGCAACATCCAGGTCCGGAGAGGTCGATGCAGATGGTGATGATGACGGGATGGATTGAGCAACCGATCGGAAGAAGTCTAGCATATATTGCAGAGACGCCGGATCGTACTAAAAAGTGGGAAATAATGAGACGTGTCCTGGGCAAGGTATAGGGAGAACAGCGGCGGTGGAAGGTGAATAGTAGAGGAATGACTGTTAACTCACGTCGACCGGATAGATGTCGCCTTCATGGAAGGTACCCATGTGCCCGTCAGGGAGTAGACCGTTCGGAAAAAGTGACAAAAGGACAAACTCGGGGAGAGTCAGCAGCTCATCTCGGGAGAGGGTAAAACGGGTTCCCCTGCGAATTTGGTTAGGAGGTCTAAGACTCTAGTTTGACTGAGGGCTGATAGAGGGTTCTCACCGGAGATCAAGAGTAATATGTTCATCTCCACCGATATCTAAGATCCATGCAAAGCAGTCAGCCAAGGAAAGGCCTTTCCCCAGACAATATGGCAAATGGCTTTCGTACCTCCTAATGTATTGATCGGCGGCCCGCCGGTCTGCTGCACCTGCGTGATGATGCTCGACGCTCCTCCTGCTGCAGCCATCACGTATGTGAACGATTCGATAGGACTGGATCCTTCAGTATACGGCGGAGGAGGTTCTCCGTCTTCCGCAGATTTTCCTGACGATTCCGGCTTGTGGTCCCGGGAGAAAGACGCCTTAGTTTCAGCGACCAAAGATGAAGAAGGGCTCGGGTCGAGAGACTCTTCGTCGGGGGGAAGTGGAACGGAGGCTGGAGCGGAGGCAGATTCAGGTGGGGAGAAGGTAGCCTTCCCGCGATTGAATTCGGTCGCCGGAGCGAAGACAAGGGACGAAAAAGGGGGAGGGCGCGACGAAGTGAAACTAGAGGAAGAAGCCTCCGAGGATGGGGAATGCGGCGGCGGTGGTGCAGTATAGAAGTCGTCGTCCTCCTCCGCTACGGAGTCTGTGTACTGGTACGGCCGCGCCGTGGGAGGCGAGCCAGAAGAATTCGGTGACCACGACAAGGTGTCGGGAGTTGTCGACTGATGCTGAGAGAAGGCCGTCTTGTCCTTTGGTTTGCCGGAAGCTAGGTGAACCCCACTGAGAAGGGGCCTTGGCCGGAGTAAATCCAGACCCTGGGTTGCTCGAGTCGCTCAGGAGCCCTCCGTTGCGTTTCTAGAGACGCTCAAACATGGAACTTAGGGGGCAAGTTTAGTTGGCCCAAATCGGATTTTATCCTGAAGAGTACGACAGAACAACAAAGAGAAAAAGAAGAAGTAACAATGAGAATGCGACCGCAGCCAAGATGATAAGATGTTGAGACTGTGGGGGTGGAGGAGGTTAAAGGGAAGAGGAGAGAGAACGAGGATGAGACGAAGCGCTTACAGGGCACGAGAGAGCCTGGAATCCGCCGTTGCTAAAGAGAGGAGGAAAGAGGAGGAGGCGGCACTTGATCCACCGACTGCTCTCGACTGCGCGTATTGGCTGATCGCTCCCGCCGCCGCTCCCTCCCAGCTTGATGCCCAGCAATCATTACCTGGCAGTCATTAGTATCTACGTGATGCACTGTCTACAAAAAGCTTGCCTCAATTTATTTCCGGTCGAAAAACCTGAAACTAAAGCTCTCGAATATTTGGTAGGAGATGCTGCCTGTCAAAAGTGGCGATCCCCCTCATTTCCGACAGAGCACAGGTTACCTGAAGTAAGTAGATACTATGATGTTAATGGTAGGATAAAGATTTCTGATTATATGCAAGTCATAATGATGATGCATGCCTGATAGATCCAATCCATACTACTAAAGCAGGCAGTGTGCCACATTTCCACCCAATATGTACCACCATGCAGAGAGGAGAGCCTCGAGTATCCAGCGTTATTGATCAACCCTTTAATACTCCTCCGGCCTCGTCCTCAACGCCTTACGTTCAAACATTACGCTCCACAAAACTCTGAATCATACCTTCAAGCGTAGGCTCGTACTCCTTGAGAGTTACTTCATCCCCATTCAAGATGGTGTTGCCTTGCACAAAGACCTTGCGAGGGATTTTGTTCTTGAGAACAATCTCGCGGACCTTGGTACCCCACCACTCATCGACCGACGTGATATCGTCATAAAGCTTCTTGCCCGCTTCGAAGTCTGCAGTGCTCTTGTAGACATGCAGCTTCTGCAGGTATTTCTCCACAGCAGGACGACCATGACTCAGAATCTTGGACCGGTCCAGGTGGATCTCCAGATCGGACAGGTCATCCTTAGTGTATGAGAGCTTGACAAAGTCGCTTCCAGCATCGAGGAAGGTACGTAGGATACTGTACCGGGCCTGCATATGGGCCTGTCCCCACTTCTGCGTCTTGGGATCCCAGAACTCCAGAGCCACGAGACCAGCACGAGCCATCTGCAAGTATCCCGCAAAAAGAACGTCACCGGCCTCGTTCGCCAGATCTTCCTTACCGTCACCGAAGCCAAACAGCTGCAGGATGCTGAAGTCGCAGCTGAGCGCCATGGCGACACACTCTGCGCGGCACTCTTCATATGAAGAAGACATCGCTCCAAATACCGAGCCCCAAGTCTGCCCAGGCTTATACCAGGATGAGATAGGCTTGTTCGTCACCGGGCTAATGGGAGGATTGGAGATATCGAAATTGTACTCCCCAGGGGCTGTTTCCTGGAGCAACTTTCCGGTTCCGTGGCCAAGCAATTCATGAATGCCGACCTGGACCTCGAACGCAGCATCACGGCATCTACGGTAGACCTCCAAATCCTTCTCTGCAATGAAAGGAACAGGCTCGTTGGGAGCCTTCGCACTAAGGACATTGCCGAGGGAAACGTTCTTAAAGCCAAGATTTTGGCGGATGTCATCGTAGTTGGGCAAATTGATACCAGCCGGGATACCAGAGGACTGGAAGCTCAACACCTCCAGGGAGGTGAAGTCAGGACTCAGGAACTTGTCCTTCTCGAAATCCTTACCCCAAGGAAGCTTGGGGATCATAGCCTCAGCACTGTCTACCAATTTTCCAAATGCACGTGTGCGCTCCAAGTTGACCTGTTTTGGAGCGCTCTGTTAGCTGTCCGAGCGATAGGGTCTTGATTTCTGACGTGACGCTTACCAGAGCAACAAATCCTTCCCATTCTCCTCTCACACCGTGGGGGTCTCTGTAGGTTTCGACGAAGCCCAAATTCGTCTCCAGAGCCGGCTTCTGGTCCTTCACCCAGATCCTTTGACTCTCCTTGAATGCTTCAATCGAGCCAGAGCCGAATGACATGGCATATGCGTCCAACATCCGCTTCTGGTTCTCATTTGCCGCATTAAGTCCCGCCTGCTTCACGCTGTGAGCGACCTTCGCCATTTCCTCCCGATAGTCACCAAAGACGAGACGAAGAGTCTTTCCCTTGAGCTTTCCATCCAGTTCAAAGATATCGGCATCGCCAAGATCTCTATCCCGCACAGGTGGTGAGGAGACACCCGATGCGATCAATAGTTCGAAGTCACCAGACTCGGTCTTCTTGAGTCTCGTGTTCTCCAACGGCAATCCTTTTTGCTCCATCAGATCTCCGATAGCCGTGATCTCATCCTTTGTGATAGACGGTGAGTCGGGGTAGTATGTTGTCATGTGTCCGCCCTCCGGGTAGCCGAGGTGCATGCGGGACTGCTCATCAGTCTCGTAGATGCCACCACCGGTAGAATTGGCCAAGTCAAAGGCAGCCTTGGTCTTTGGCGTGGCCGAAGCTAAAGCCTGGAGTGCCTCAACCGGGAGTCGGGGAATGAACTTCGAGTCTCCAAATCCCTTGTAGTTACCACAATTCCCAAGGAACTGAGTTGCATACTCCAAGAAGTAGCGTAGATGCTCATCGCTGACATTGGTCTTCTGAGCGAGCTCGGACCAGTTTCCATCACAGGCCCGATGAAGCTCGAGAATGAGGTCGTAAATAGGCTCAGACTCCGGGGAGACCTGACGGAGGGTAATACGGGTTCCCTCAAAGGCAGCTCTACAAACACATGCATGTTAGCGGAACCCGACATGACACTGGAATACTAGCAATGTATGGGCTATAGCATTCATAACGCACCTGCTCAGATAATGGGCATATTTCCGTAGCTTCGGGTCCGTGAGGTTGTCAAAGTGAGACTTGACTTCCAAGCGAACCACGGTTGGCGGCGAGTCGGCCAGGTAGTGCTGCTTGGTCTGGGCATCCATTGTGGCTCGATGAGGGGAGTAAATTAGGGAATCGGAGGATGAAGAGAGGGGATTTGCTACAGACGAGGAAGAGCAGCGGGTGAGGTGGAGAGGAGGCAGACGATGACGGAGGGGCAGCAGGGACGAGGGGCGGTGGGGGAGGACAAAACGCTGAGCCGAGGGAAAGCGTCTCAAGGCGCCTCGAAGAGGAGGTTGCATGCCTGGAGAGCTGGTGGTGGCCGTGGGTACCCAGAATCTCCGTCACTGCTACGTCGGGTCACCGTCGGGGAAAGGAAACCTAGATTGCAGTCGAATGGAATAGTATCAATCTACTATCGGGTTGCTTGGCAACAAAAAAAGTGGAGCCTGCACTTATCGTTTCCACGACTGTTTCTCCACCTTGTAGCACCACGCTTTCCTCCCCATGCTCCATTATCATAATTATGTGGCCTGATGATGGCAGTATGCTAGATATGTCACAACCCTTCTTTAGCCCCATATGCGAGCCAACTCAGACATTAGAGAGGAAAATTGAAAACTTTTTAAGCCCATTTTGAACTACGCCTGAAACAATGGGGGAATCATGCATGATGCTGTACACACAACATAACCGAGGACTATGCTAGAGAAACAAAAGAAATAAAGGGGGAGAAATAAAAGGGGAATTCCCAAAGAGTATCTGAGTCTGGTGACTATAATTCGAAAATATGCGATTGGATCCATTGTATAACCTTACCCCCGAGGTTTCACAGCAAGCTCTCGTACTTGTCGAGGCCTTGCTTTGGTGTTGCCTGCGGCGCACTGTTGTTTAGAAAAGCATTGGGGGAGGTAGTTGTACCAAAAGCTGAACCTCCCGGCTTCGGTAGTTCCCCAGGACTGCCAAATGATCCAACGGAGCTGTGACCCGACGGAGGCGGAGGAATTGAAAATGCAGAGTAATTGGGGGCAGCTTGAGTGGGTTGGCTAGGCATAGGTGCCTGTGTCTTCATGTTCGCTAGCGCTCCCAGAGAAAGACCGGAAACATTAGATCTCTGGGCCGATTGCTGATTGCTCGCGGGGCTCGGTATACTCCACGATGAAGAAGGCGAAGGCTGCAGTGTAGGAAACGACGGCGTCCGGGGAGACTTGGCCCGACTGGCAGGTTCTAGGGACGGGAAAGTGTTCAAGCTATAATCCGGAGTGATCGAACGCATGCTGAGGTTGTTTTGGGCTGGGAGCATGTTCCCTTTCACACCTGGACTTGTAGTACTAGAAGACCAGGTGAAGCCCGCAGGCGATGTCGTTTGAGCAGTAGACTGCACTGCGGGAGGGCCCGAGGTGAGGCTACCCCATTGGTCAATGTCCTGGTCATTGGAGGTGGCTGCCGTTCGTCCTAGAACAAGACGCTCAAAGTTGTCTCTTGTGTTGTCCATGTTAGACTGACCCATCGAGATTGCGGCCGTTGAGGAAGACCCAGTGCCGTTCTGGAATCCTCCAGTATCTCCTCCGGACGAAAGCTCTTGGAGCTTCTTAGTCTGTTCCTTTTCGATCTTCGATGAGATATCCTTGATTAAAGTCATAAATTCCCCAAATTGACGCAGGTCAAGGAGGGGCCCAAGACTGAAGCTCCAGAGAACCGGGAGGACTTCCAGAGCAAGAAAGTCGGTGTCCGCCACTGTTTTAATTTGGCGGAAGACAGACAAAGCAGCCATCATGACAGCTGGTTCCTTGGTTTTGATGGCTTTCAACGATGGGACAAGCTTTTCTTGTATCGTGTACTTGTCTAGGATGGATGACTTCACGGACTGCGACTTGCTCGTTTGGCTTACACCCGATAGATCATCTTCGATTGCCTCCTTGCTTTCCACGGAGCCGCCACAAAGTACAGCGAACGCTTCCAGACAACGCACTTTGATAGCAAGACTGTTTGTCCGACTAAAGGTCGAAGCTATAGGCGGGAAAACTTCGTTTTTGACAGTGCTGAAGTCAAGGACCGGAAGAATAACTGGTAAGCACTTGATTGCACCATCTACCAAGGTGTGCGTGGGTGAATCGAGTCCCAGACGGATCAGGGGCAGGATGTCTGCTAAGGTTAGTTATGGCTCATTCGCGTGTCTTCGGTTTCACCGACCTTCTTTGAACTCCTTTCCGGAACAATTATCTGCAACGACGCGCATGTTTTCTAGGACGACCAAAAGACCCGCGTCTCTTTTAGAGTCGCGGTCTTGGACAGTACCTTTCCCAGTTGGGAAGGCCTCTTTGAGCTGAGGTATCACTCGCTCCGGGAACGTGCGGCGTGAATTGGGAATACGCTGCAAGATTGCAAATACATTGCTCAAGATAAGAGGCAAAAGTTCACGATCCTTCAGCTCTTCCAGTAAGGCGCCCAACACCTTTCTGTCTAGCACGGAGACTGGGAACTCTGGCAAGACCCGTTGAAGTCCACGCATGAACTGCGACTTTTCGTTGGCATTTTTTGCAGGTAGAGACTCTAGAAAGCGAATGGTCGAGACCAGAATATTATCGAAGTACTGGGATTGTTGAAATTCGCGCGCATTCAGACGCTGAGCAGGCCGTCTCGTTATCAGCCTGGGTAAAACGTGAGAAAGAACGTCCTTTGGGATTGGGCCTGATGATAAGAAGTTGTTGCCTTGGGAGGGAGTGCTGGATGGAGAGCTGAGAAGCTTTTTGTACGTATTCACATTGGAATGCGTTTGTAGAGGGGAGACATGGGGTGAATTATAGAGCGCCACTATGATTAGACCGAGCGAAAACAGATCCGCTGCAGGAGTGACATTGGTATCGAGGACAAAATCGGGTGAAGTATAGTCCAGATTTAATTGCACAGATTGAGGCAGACGTGGGTCTTGGTAGAGAACCTCTGATAGAGCCAAAGGTGGGAGAGTAGAGCGTGACTCCGTAGAGCTAGCGGGGCCGGCAAATCCAAGCCCGGAGATTTTCCAATCCGATTTGGCATTGATGTAGATGGCCTCGGGGTTCAAGTTGCCGTGGACAAGCCCAGCAGACTCATGAAGGAATTCGAGACCTTTGGCAACTTGCAATAAGCCTTTTTGGATCTCTAGTTCGTCGATCTCGAGGTCTCTTCGCCTGCGCGTGCCGTCGGGCTCTTCCACCATGTAACGGCTGGACCTCGAGCCATTCCTCGAAGTGGTCTCCTGCGCGTCTTTTGCCTGCAGTAGTCCGGCAAGAGACGCTGTGATCTGCTCGGTAGCAAACATGAGCCCGCCATTCCGAGTCTCTTCGACGGGCTCCAGCACTTGAAGAACAGACGGATGCCGGAGCCGCGCAAGATTGCTTGCTTCCCGCTTCAGGCGTTCGACAACATCTTCTTGCAGCTTTTTGGTGGAAGAGCTGGAACGACTACCAAGTCCAGTTGATCTCGGTTCGAGAACCTTCTTGTCAAAGATGAAGATTGACGCTGTGGTTCCGGTAGATTTCTTCTTCCCATCGTGGATTTTCCAAGGACCGGAGATCACGGTGGGGTGTGGAGAGATGTGGTAGTTGGATGATATATTAGAGCTCAGGGATTTGAGAGCAGACGAAAACATTTTTGTCTGTTTCAATTCTCACCACAGAAGACACGATAAAGCTGAGATAAAAAGAGAAATCCGCCGCAATGGGCTCAGTGCTTCCAGTGTGGTCGTCGAAACACTGGAAGTATGCAATGCGGTTCCGGGGGTTGGAAGAACAGGGACACAGAAGATAGGGGAACAAATATTACAAGAAATAGTATTATATAGAAACCGAAAGAGGAAGGGGGGGCGCGTAGCTGACAATGCTAAGTTGAGTCCTCCTCAAGCGTAAACGAGGCGAATGATTTCCTCGCTATCATACATTGCCCGGCCTCTGTTTCTCTTAAGTGTTAAATTAATATGATATCTCTCTCCCCTCTGGTAGCTTTCAGGTATCAGTTGGCCGCTGCTAATCTGCCCGGTCGGCGAGCATCACGTGCAAGGAACACTCCTTGGCCAATCAGGAATGGAGACTGGAAGGAGGGTCTTTCCCCGGACTCACCGCCTGGCTGGAACGCGGATTTACTGCCGGCAACTCGCTTCGCCGACGTCGGACTCGAAACGGAGACTGACCAAGAGAGAGCTCCTTCTAGGGTGTCTGATTCATCACCGGTTCATCGATTGGTTGGAGAGTTTGCAATATAGCCTGTACAATTGCTCATATAGGTAACCATTTACGTACTGGCGGGACGCCCAGATTCAAAGGTTCGCTTAGTGTGGTCTCCATGATTGAACCCAAATCGACCTTGTCAGACCTTAATCTCGGAGTTGGTGCCGTAGTCCGTGGGCAAGAGTCATAGACTACCGTTCTTATCCGCCTTTTAAGCTCCACAGCCCGCCCTCGGTCCTGTCGGTGCATTCTTCTGGTTTATTTCCTGTCGTGGTTCATTCTCCTGCGCTTCTTTGCTGTCCTTTTTCTGGGATTCCTATTCTTTTTTACCTGGTGTTATTACCCCCTGGATTGTTATTTAAGCCGGAAAGCAATCATGAAGTCATTTCAATTCGCTCGTCGCAGGGCGTTACAAAGCCTCGTCGCACCGCGCGCCTTTCAATCTCCCGCAACGGCTCAGTTATGGAAGCGATGCTTCAGTGCTACTTCAGCTGCTGCCTCCCAACTAGCCCCCCTTGACCCCTCGAAACTTACAGTCTCGAAGACGAATACCCCTAAGGAATTGACTGCCCCGAAGGACTTGGTCTTTGGCAAGACCTTCACCGGTATGACAAGCACGTGTCGTTTCTCAGCGCTGTTCAATTTCTAATGCGCATTCCATCTTAGATCATATGCTCTCGATTGAATGGACCGCGACGGAGGGATGGCACTCTCCCCAGATTGTTCCGTATCAGAACCTCAGTCTCGACCCGTCGGCTTGTGTTTTCCACTATGCGTTCGAATGTTTTGAGGGTATGAAGGCCTACAAGGACCAGTCTGGTCAGATTCGCTTGTTTCGTCCGGACAAGAACATGGCGCGCTTGAACAAATCCTCGAAGCGCATTGCTTTGCCTTCCTTTGATGGCGAGGCCCTCACCAAGCTGATTGGAGAGTTTGTGAAGTTGGACAGCAGGTTCATTCCAAGGTTGGTGAAAAGCCCACCAATTGATGATTGAGGATAATAACTTACCTTTAAATAAATAGCGAGCGGGGTTACTCTCTGTACTTGCGGCCCACGATGATTGGAACCCAAAAGACTCTCGGTGTGGGACCCCCGGGCTCTGCTCTTCTGTTCGTGATTGCAAGCCCGGTTGGCCCGTATTACCCCACTGGCTTCAAGGCCATTTCGTTGGAGGCTACCGACTATGCTGTTAGAGCCTGGCCTGGTGGTGTTGGAGACAAGAAGCTGGGCGCCAATTACGCCCCCTGCGTCCTCCCTCAGCTGGAGGCGGCGTCCCGTGGCTTCCAGCAGAATCTGTGGCTTTTTGGAGAGGAAGAATACATTACCGAGGTCGGCACCATGAACCTTTTCGTTGCTCTGAAGAACAAGGAAACTGGCCAGAAGGAACTGATCACTGCGCCTCTGGACGGAACAATCCTTGAGGGTGTGACCAGAGACTCCGTGCTGGGGCTGGCTAGGGAAAGACTGGTGCCCAAGGGCTGGACCATCTCCGAGCGTAAGCTCAAGATGTCCGAAGTCGCCGAAGCGGCCGAGGAGGGCAGAATGATCGAAGTGTTCGGCGCCGGTACTGCAGCTATTGTGAGTCCCGTGCGGACAATCAGCTACCGGGGTAAGCTGGTCGACTGCGGCCTTAAGGAGACTGAGGAAGCAGGCGAAATTGCTCTTCAGATGAAGAACTGGATCGAGGGTATCCAGTATGGTGATGAGAGTCACCCTTGGAGGTAAGTTTAGAGCCTGCCTGTTTCCCTATGGATGTTGCAGCTTGCTAACCGACCAGTAGCTATGTCCTCTAAATCAGCGAAAAGAGGTTTTAACAATGGAAATGGTCTTTTAAGCTTGCATTGCTAGATTTTTCTGGTATAATTTGATGATAGATGGATATCAAATGGCCGGTCTTGTTGGCATGTTTTTTACTATACGTCGATTTAGTGGTGATTGTTCTTGGCGAGCACGAGCATCACATCAAAAGAAAGGCGGGTTTTTTGTTTCTTACGTCTTGCGACCTAGCGGTGATTGGATTACCCCAGTAATCGAGGGCAAAGTTTCTGGCGTTCTCAGGAAACGGGACTGAAGGTGTCTGCCAGGTAATCCTAGACAAGACGGAAACATCATCTGCGGCCTCCTGCACGACATACACGCCCGTCCAGCAACAGAGGTCAAGGATGATGGCGATGTACGCGAGGAGCCTGCAGATAACGGGCCATGGCAGATGTAGTCAGCCGTGCCTTGGAGCGATTACTTGCAGGACGCCTGAGGCACGTCCCCTGTCTCAGTTGGTTGCGTTTCACCCCCTCGTGAGGTGCACACGGCAGCTGTGTTGGACATGGGCTGTGACTCGGGTGAATTTGGTTTGCTGGCACGCTCAGCCGTCTCTGTAAATAGCATCGCTATACAATGATATCCTAGCTACCATACTCTCGAGTTGTAACAATCGACACAGGATGATCGACAGTCGCTAGATGCGTATCCCGCCAGACTCATTGATTATTGGATATCTCCTCATCAATGGAGTAGATGCACGCCCATGGGATCCCAGTCACGAAGACCAGTAGGGCGTGGCTGTTCGGTTTCGGCCCCGAACTACACGGAGAGCAGTGCCCGGACACGGGATATCCAACACCTCCTGGTCCGCCCATACTTCCAGGTCTCCGTGAGTCAGTGTACCTCTATGAACTGTGCAGTAGCATTAAGATAGTATCAACTACGGGGTGACTTCTAGGAAAACCAACCAACCTCAGGCTACTGAACCCCATCCAGGCAACAATCACTTGCGAGCAGATCATCGAGCATATGGCAGCAGCAGTAGGAGTCTCGTGTCCACTATGCCTTACTCTGCCGGCAGGATCCGTTCCGTCAGTCTTTCTGTCCCTTCTTTCCCGAGATGGAGCGATTCAATTCTCACAGAATGCTCCATCCATGGCAGTTTAGCCAGTAGCGGGAGTCTATGCAAATGGATGGTGGAACCCTGTCCATACCGTCATACCAACAGATTCCAGAGAATGTTGATCGCCGTGACCTTGCAATACATCTAGTCCAACCGAGCAGTGTGGCAGTGTGCTAGCTCGAGAGTGGGCCATGAAGCCTACAGAATCTGAAACAACCGATGGGGCACCTTAACGACCAATATTCTTCAACACCGGCCCAAGCAGTAGGATTGTGGTCTTGGCGAGATGTCGAATTATCACTGCCTAAGGCCTACAAAGCACAAATGGGGACGGACGTATTGGCCCCATCAGTACTCTGTAGTCCATACTAGCGTGTTCTCGACACGGAGACGGACGAGCCGCAGTAAACCCCGAGCTTTTGCCACGAGGTGACAGCAATCAATCAATCAATCAATCAATTCTTCCTTCACAATCACCCGTGCGAAGGAAGGCAGCTGCCTGCCTACTCCCAGCTAGCAGCAGCCCGATAGAGTGAATAACCCGACCCACTACCACACAACTGATGTCCGAAGGAGTTGACGTAACTCGGACTCACAAGGGTTCATTTAATCTACTGACCGGGCCAATTAGTCCCCAATACACTCGTACAAGAAGTCATTTGATTGATTGCTCAATGGATTGATTGCCGGAATGAGGTCGGCAGAACTATGTCCGTTCCGGACAGTCCGCGGAGTTCGGACAGCACATTCACCGTCCCCGAGACCTCTGACGAAATGGGTTTCTAATGGTTCCCCAATATTCTCTCAAACAGATACTAGTCTTAGGCGGCCATAGTTACCCGTGGCTCTCGTCAACACCTTATTCTAGGATTGGAAATCACATCCTAGTTATGCACAATACTACTCGCGTTGAACCTCTTTGCTACCGGTTACCAATCTGGTTTGATACGGCGTTACGGAGCCTTCCAGACACTCCTGGTCCATGGTACAGACCGATACCTGTACTACCACCCTCGTCGGGCAGGCCGACAACTAGACTAACTACTAATAATTAATTACTACCAAGCAAGGTAAGGCGTCTGCGATATGTGTACGCCCATTTTGGCTGTGCACACAGCCCTCTATACACACACAGCACAACAGCTACGCACGCACTTGGATGAGGCTCTGCTGTGTTGGCTTTTGCATCACTAGTCCTGCAACCAGTCAAAACGCGAATGGAATCCACCTTAGGCACCCAGCCCGTCACAGTGGTTTGGCTACCACAAAGACATCAACAAATCGCAGCTCTGGCTGTCCGTTTTAGAATTTCCGAGTCAACGGGCAACTGCAAAGTAGCAAGCGCCCAAGGCGGCACCTGGTTTTGTCATTGTGTCGGCAATCTGCAGTATTAGGTTCATTAAACCAGGCCTGGTCAAAGTCGTTGAACAGACCTGTACCAGCTCCACTGGTGAACGATATTGCGATAATAACTAGCCCTCTGGATTTTAAATAACCGCAGCAGTGCCCCATGCATCTGGTGGACTACTAATGGGCCAAGGCTAGTACTACCTAGTGGGATCTACAGATGGTGATTGGTACCCTCGTTTATTGGTGTCACTCTCATCAACACATGGTAGCACTAGGGATATACTCTCCCAGCAGACAAAGTCTACGAGACGACAAGCCACTGTTGCAACTGTTCAGTCAATATTATTTTCAGTACACAATCAGCTTCAGCGTGTCGATCATTAAATCATCGAGTCACATCGGTGTGCTCATTTCGAGCATGAAGGGTGTGGCATGGGCCGCAAATAGTAAGCGAGCGGGCTGTAACAGACGTGCCCGGCTTATTACACCGTACACTGGCGCAAAGGGTCTGTGGGCATGGGCACCTATGAGAAAAGATTGCGATATGGAGCAGCGAGTATGAAATTGGGGGCCATTTCTGCCGTTGCTCCGTTCTGAAACTAGTCCCCTGCTAGGTTGAGGGGGCGGAAGACTAGGCGATGTTGGCCTCATGTCGCTGCCACGTTAGGATAGCAATGCATCAATTATTGCGAAAATGGGGCCAACACTATAATGTTGTGTTTGTGGAGGAACACCAAGAAGGAAGAAAAAAAAGACGCATTGTTGCGAACCTTGCCCACAGCCATAATTAGTCAAAAGATAACTTTCTTTTTTTTATGTCTTCACAAAACATCATCAATATTATGATTCTGAGTGGCAGCGCCTTGAATCTGATGAAGGGGGAACAATGATGTGACTATAATGATCGTCAGATCTATAGGAAAGTCAGACAAGGTTCCTGAAAGCTTGAGGATTCCTCAGGCCAGGCATTGAGCCGTCGCATGAATGCCTCCGACCTTTTCCCACGAGGCATGCTGGCATTAATTTAGCATGGCCGATAAGGATTGCACCATCCCTCCCTTCCCGTCAAACGCCATGACCTTTGCACGTGGAGTCCCCGTACTTTGTCCAAGTGGGTTTTCGTCATCCTCCCATTCCTGGCGGCGTGCGGGGCGGCCAAGATTAACCCATGCCATCCTGTCAACCGTGACTCACGTCCACCGGGAATGAAAGTTGCGCGCGCGGAAATTAATGGCCGCTCCATCCGACATGGCGAGACGGACAGTCCAGATGCTACCCACAGAGTAGTTACCCGAAGGTCCTCTCGATGTGAATCATAGACCTAAAGCTAACTTGTTATTTCCACACTTAGCGTCCAACTACCTATTCCGAACTAAACTTCCAGTCCGACAAGTTCAATATAAGTTCAATATACATGAAAACGACAATACGATATCCTTTCCAAGCTACTAAACCTTTCTCAGGATAATATTCTGCACCCAAAAGGATATTGCGTTTTTTGGAACTAACGGTCAAGACTACTGCAGGCCTGGCGCACACTGCATTCCTGAATATTATTAATATCTCTGATGCCGCAGAAGCCGGCCAGTGAGACGACCGAGCAAGCAAACATACCAACCAGTTGTGCCGTCCGCCAAGGACCAGTGCTTCTAGATATGTACCAGAAGGTTCGATTCAGTATCTGGCAACCCTTGGCCGCCGCAGGCGCTCCCCCAATCCCTGTCAAAAAGTGCATCTTCATGCACTAGTAATAGGCCGTCGGCATGCAGAAATATACGAGCACTACCCTGGACCAATGATGACGCTATTTGCCCAGCTCTAGTGCACAAGGTCGGCACGCGAGGCCTGATGAAGAAAGAGGACAGAATAGCCAGGCACACCCATACGAGATATGGTTACATGTGTATGAGTCGGGTCGAGTCATGGGTTGCGATCTCTTGTATCAGATGGAGACACACATGCAGACGCAGACTCTCACAGAAAAGACATGAGCCAGGGTAAAGGAAAATTGCTTCGCCGCTTTCAGAAGCCAGACATTCCGACCGGGCAATACATGTGATATGTGATTCATCGAAGGCTTGACGTACTAGTAGGCCTACTTACTACTCCGCTCTTGAATCAGGCTGGGGAATTTCAGTGTTGGACCAATAAGCCATGGACCATGAACCGTAACTGCCATCAGCCCTATACATGGACAGTGATGCAGACAGGAATACTCGTTGACACCTGGCTCTGAGGCAGTGTATGTCAATCAGACTGAAATATGCAAGTGATTGAGCCTCATAGGAGGTAAAACACGGGAGCGTGCTAGTAAGGCATCCTCCCAAGGCCCAATATCCAAATACGGTAAGTAATTCGTATAGCCAATTGCAGCGGAGGAATGACACCTTGGGGCTGAAAAGCCTCTCGCCTTTTGTTGCAATGTCACTGGCCCGCTCGTGTACCAGTGGACCCAGGTGGTCCCCGCTCCGTCGTTTCCCCTCCCGGTTAGTATCCACATGATTTCTTGGGGGTTGCCGATCTGATTTGTAATGGCATCCACTAACAGTACGCAGGGGTCCTGGTCCTTAGATTACAAACCGAATCTGGCAAGAGCCTTGACATTGGGGGCTCTTCGAATTGTGCTTCTCTTCCGCAGCTACATAGCCACCTAGCTAAATGCCTCCTTGGGGGTAGAGTCCGGAATGTTGTATGCACCAGCACCAGGTACAAGCAGGGGCTCTTGATAATGCAATAATCTCGGGGCAATGTGCATGCATCCATCTATCCCATCATGGGAGGTGAGGAGTACTGACCACTTCGCGATAAGGCTATTTATTATCCAGAAGGGCTAACGGATAACAATATTACGACTTCTTATGGCAATTGACGATAATGAAAGATAAAATAAAAACCTTAATGTTAAAAATAAAACGGAAAGGAAAAATCACCAACGAAACTAATTCAGCAACCGAAAGGCTGTATTGCGGGAACAGAGAGTCAGTCAATCAGTCAGTCGACTTCGAGGCCGGAGATTGGTAGCCTCCGAAACAAGGCTATCTTCCCCATCTCCGGACTGTCCGCAACCCGGGCTGTGCTTGATCGAAGTTAGGAAATCAAGTGATCAACTGATCTGCAAGTTTCTCTCCCTTCTCCATGTCTCATTGCGCCCAATCCAACTGCAACTTCCAAGCATCGGCAAGGTATGGACATGGACATGATGGTTGTCAAAGATAGATGAAACAAACACCACACCCTCCAGAAGCAAGTCATCCAACAAATCAGCAACTGGCATTGGCTTACCTATAAGGGAAAAGGAATGTGACTTTTCAGAAAAAGTATAGCTAAGAGAGTGGATGAGCAGCGCCGCCCCCCCTTCCGTCTCTGTCCCCCTCTCCCCTCCCTTTTCCCCTCATTCCCACCACCCGTTCGGAATAGGTGAGATCTTTATCCTTAGTGTGCTGCCAAGATCGAGGGGTGCAACGTGGCAGAAGTCGAGACCGTGCACTAGAAGGGGCGCTGCTCGTGTCAATCGAGGCACACTCACCACCTTCACACACACGCACCACCCTTTACTCTCGATCCCAGTTTGTCCTCGACCTGCAGATAGACTTGACGCAGGTGGTCATTCAGTAACGAGACTAGTAGCCTGATGCCGGTGCCTCATGGTCGGCACCCAAATGGCACTTTTCCAATGATTTCCTAGCAGTTATCTAAATTCGGAAATAAGCGCGAGCGGGCGCACGCGGGCATGATTGGATGGGGCTATTTTGAGAATCATGCATTGCATAGCATGTAAGGTCAACAGAGACCGATGAGCAAAAGAAGGCAGACAACAAGACGTGATGCTCGAAACTCAGGAGCTGAAGAAACTGTGCGTTTATGTGTGCATTACCGGGGCTGTGTGTGGACGTCGAAAGGATTCCTCAATGTAGTAACTACTGCGTACATTACTATTATACTAGTAACCCAGTAGATACAGTGGTTAGGTAACCGCATCTAGCACTCGTAATCAGCGTAACTCATAGATACGCGAATACGACCCGGCAGCAATTAGGGCCGAACAGTGCCGTGCCGGGCGATACGAAAGAGGTAACCGGACACTGATAGATAACTAGTAGACTAGAGGTGAGTAGCACGGAGCACAGCGTACTACATTAAATAAAGTATACGGCAACAACCACGTGCTCCATCCAAATTGACCCGTTTCTGCATATGGTTCGCCCAAGACATGGTTCGAAGGAATGCCGCTTGAGGGAAGGAAGGGAAGGGAGGGGGGAGAGAAATCCAGCGGTAATCTGCACAAAAAACGTCGTTAATACGACAGCAATTATGATCTGACTTGAAGGATGGGTAACTATCTTACTAGTCTAGCTAATTGAGGATGGTGACATCGTCCGCCAATCATCCTAGACGATGGAGATTAAAACGTGCCTACTAAGACACAGGCTGCGGAAATTCCACTATTTCCATGGTTCACCCGAACCTGTCGGATTTAAGCGACAAAGGCAAAAGACAAAGGCCGGAATAGTGGTGGTGATGGTAGTGCTACCACGATGGTAGGTAGTATTGGAGTAGGTACCTAGCTAGTAGTAGTCACTACTATATCCTGGTTAATGGGTCTTTGGGGGCTATGGGTCTAGGATGAACCATTAGCTAATGGGTTAGTGGTTAGTTGGTTCATTCTAGGAGATATTTGATTGCCTGAGGACTACAGTAACTCTCCTTCATACACAAATCGTATGTATGTATGTATGTAATGGATCTCCGCGGATCATCGGCAATGGAATACTTGAAACAGAACAACATAATTATTGAAACGCATTCATCAAACACAAGACATCTATAGAGTTCATGAGACAATTAAATAAATTCCTCATCTATTGAACAATCGCCCTGCCTCACATGGTGTGATGGGAAGAAGAAGGATGGGAAAGAGGCAGAAGGAAACAGGTTGTGTAACCATACCCAACAAATCAATTAATTAATTACCCAATAAACCCATACCAATACAGTATTGATACAAGGCCACCCAACATACCACTAGATTGTAAAAGCCGCGCTTTTCATTTTCAGCCCCCTCCTGGCAGACCAGTCCAACAAACATCCTGCTTAAGCCACGCACACTCAACCCTCACACACACCTTTCCGCTCGTTTCAAAGCCCAGGGAACGAATTCTATTGGGTCACTCGGTTCGAGACTACGTTTCTTAGGCCGTCCATCGGTAGGACAAATCTCCAAGCCTAATTTCTATTTACTGAAGTTGGAAAAGCTAGTTAGCTAGATTAGGAGCCCGCCATGCTGGGCCCATTCTCCCCCACACCCACACCCACACACATACTCAATCACACTCAACATGCGAGGTTGACTTATCATCAAGGGGGGTGAGTGGGTGTGGGAATGGAAGGATGGCCATGCAGCAGCAGCAGCAGCAGTAGTAGCTTCTTGGGGCTTTTGACCGTCTCGGTTGGCTCAATTGAACGGCTTCTCTTTTTAAGACACGCTATCCAACTAGTCCGGAAAGGGCCCGTTGTTGCATTCGTTTCGAATCCTGGACCGACAGAACTCAGCTCCTCTCGGCACTGCATGATTTGACAGGGAATATACGACCTAGAATCTCGGGAGAATACTGCATGATTGGGGGGGGGAAGACATAACGCATAGCCTAGTTAGTAGACAGTTGTAGTCGTATCGTACTAATGCAAATTGATCTGTGTATTTGATGGATATTCAAAAGCGCATTGTTGTATATACTTGGATAGAGGGAAAATGTGCCTATTCTCAGGCATTCGGGCCTGTCCGATAGCTACTTACTATCTCTGGCAGATCGATATGGAACCACATGGTCGTCGAGATTGGTGGACCAACCGGGGGAGAAGAGCAAGAGAGGGGGGGGCTGGCTGGCTTGGTCTAGCTAGCACTGCCTGATATCATGGATCCTGTTTAACCCTCCGTGGCCGCGCCCCCCTCCCACTCTCGCTCTCGCTCTCTCGGCCATATCGGTCATCGGGGTCCGCCAAAACAGCCTCACGCCTTTTCCTTCCCTCCCCCTCCCCCTTCCCTAGGATTCCCTCTAGTCCACACCGGGCATTAGTGACGCAGCCCTGCACATCCGCCAATCCATTCGGGAAAAGTTCCCTACCAACACATGGTCAAGCCATGCATACCCTGCAAGTCTCCAGCCATTCCCAATTTGATTATTACCTTTTTTTCTTTTTTCTTATTCTTTTTTCCTTTCTTAATTCAATATTATCCTTTTGGGTTTGGCAAAAATAAAAATAATTATTACCCATAATAATTTAATTTGAAAAAGGAAAATGTCAATTATAATAAATTCTTCGGAGCACGGACTAACGCTGCTATCGCAACGGTTCAATCGACCATCACGGACGGGCTGCTTTCATTCGGACCCGGGGCTTAGCAGGCATAAGCTACAGACCTGTTCTCCAGCTGATCGACCCATGGCTTAGTTTTAAATACTGAACGCATCCTGTGTCTTTTCTTTTGAGTTTCAGATGTTGATCATCCTTGACTCGTGACTCTCACTTGGATTCAATATCTATATAGTCAATCCCAGATCCTCTCTCTGGCTCCTCATCTTCTTTCAACTTCATCCTCCTCTGATATCATCAGTCCAACTGCTTTCCACTTTCTACTACTGCATTGTATATCGCTGCTTCTTGTGAACAAGAGCTTTGATCTATATATACTATCATCTCCCTCTACTATACTTCAATCCAAGATGCATCGGTCTTCCAATTACTCATATCAACAAACCTCGAGCTCGAGGAGCTCCAACCACGGCACCAGCAGCGCTTTCAGTCCTAATGCCAACCCCAATGAGGACTGGACTAAGATCTCAGACCTTGCAGAGCGTCGCCGGATACAGAATCGCATTGCTCAGAGAAACTACCGTAAGTTAACTTCTCCGCCGGTTGGTTGTCCATGTTGCGACACAAATCTGACTGAATGCGATATTAGGCAAGAAGCTAAAGCGCCGCCTCGAAGATTTGGAGAAGAGAGCCGCAACTGCTTCTACATCTCCAGAACGGTCACACGAGGGTTCGGAGTCGCCGAAGGCGGTGGTGCACACTGTCAAGTCCCGCACCAAACAGGCTCGCACAACCAAGTCTAGCTCAGATGCAACCCGTCACACCTCCGCGCAACGAGGCTCTTCCTATGACAGCCACTCCACCCAGGATGATCGCGGACCGATGTTCTCCCAGCAATGCACTCGACAGCTCTCAGCCTCGCCGCCTCCCGTGTTCTCTTACCCCTCATACTCTCACTTGGAATCCTATGGTCACCATTCGTACGGACAGCCGCCTTCCTACCACTCTCTCAACAACCACTACAATGACCTCCCATACGGAGAGTACGGAACAACTCTGCCCTCGATCCTGCCTGGTCCGATACTCGGATCGGGCGCAAAGAAGCACCACTCGTACGCCGATGATGAGATTGTCAGCCCCTTCAGTATGAGCTATGCGTCTATGGCTGGCATTGATCTGGGTCCGACACCGCAACACCTTCCAGAGCACAACATTCCTGTACATGCCCCTCTCTCTACCTGATGCCGGTCTGTGCAAGAAGTACCAGGGTTAGCGGAGCTAATGCGGTCTTTCAGATGCCACCTTTGTCTTCAGTCTACAGCGATGATCATTCCTCCCCTTCCACCCCAGCAGAGCCTCTACTAGGTTGTCCTCTTACACCGAAGTCGGACCCGTGTTCCCCCCACTCATACTCGCTGTTCTGATTTGATGTTGTTTCTTACTCAAGGCTAGCGGTGGCACTTTGTTTTTTCTTTCTTCTTATTTCTTTTTCCCTTCTTATCTTTTCCCTTGATTCACCCCACTCTTGCCCGCTTTAATGACAGTTATGATGTATTATCGAGTCAAGGTTGGATGTAACCGCATGATTCACTTTTTTGATTTCTATGTTTCTTTTGTTTGCGATTGATGATTTTGTTTCCTTTGTGAGCACCTTTCTCTTCTTCTCTTTATTATTCCTCTCCAGAGGAATATTTTTGTGGACTGCGCTCCAGAAAGGACCCCACCCCGGGTCCCGCGCATTGCTTTGAGATTCATTTGATTTGTGCAAGCCGATAGATGCATGTTTTGCGGCGTTTATGATGAAATGGAGGGGGGGTGGGGTGGAACAAGGCTACAGGTGTATGCGTGTGTGGGAAATTGGCTATTATTGGGAAAGCAATTGTTCCTTTTTCTTTTTTTTCTTCTCATTTCTTTTTTTTTTTTTTTCTTTACCGACCGATCAATCCGTCCGTCCGTGTGTTTCAAAAGATAGATTACCATACTTTTCTGAATCGAGTCTGGCTTCAACCAAGCCGTGTTGCTATGCAATGCCACTATCCTCCATCTAGAAGTTCGTCGAGTTCGAATCGAGCCGAGGCCAGGTCAAGGTCAGGTCAGGTCAGGCCCGCCAGCGACCCAAAAAGTTACTTTGTCGGCAACTCCACCCATCCCGAAATCCCCGCGCATGTCTCCGGTCCCAAAGTGGGTAACTGCCAACCCAGACCGTGGACGGGGAGGCTTTCGCCTCCCGCCGATGGCTGTGCCTGTTGATTGGTCGGCTCGTATGGCAACCCTGGGGCAGCAGTGGATTTGAACCTAAGGGGGGTTGCGCTTGGCCCCTTGACACTAAAACTGGGCCTACTGGTTTTAGTGGCCTAAACTTACTGTTTACTTGAAATGGGTCAATTAATTCGTTTACCACCAGTTTGTGGTTTACCGGATCCCAAACAAGCGTGATTTCACATCCACTGTTGCTAACTTGCTAGCTACTAGCTAGCTAGCTATGTTAGTGTACCTTGGCTCAATCAGGTAGATTAGTAAGTACGTCGAGTCGGGGTATGAGACGATCCCGACGGGATTTTTTGATTCCCGTGTCCGTTTGTGCATACACGGTGCTGCTCTATCTACCTGTTAACTTACTTGATGATGAAAAAGAAAACATACACGGGCTTCTTCTTCAGTCAAAGTTAGTTTACATCCCTCGGCAATTGAACAACTCAAATATGCACAGTAAGTTTAAATAAGTAAATCGAATTGGGATGTATGCCTCGGCACAGAAACTCAATCAATTCAAATCACACCGTTTTGGGGGCCGCAGTAACTTGCTACTTACTCCGTACTTACTTGGTTTTTAGTCACGGGTTTGCGAGATTTGTTCATCGTGCATACCATACATACTACTACTTACAAACAGTTAGTTAGTTAACTCAAGAGCATACACAGCCTTGGGGCCATTTTGCAAATTAGTTACCTAGATGGGTAGTTAACCTATACCCTAGCTAACTAGCCAGTCTACTATGAACCTGCGTATCGAGTTAAATCGCAAGGCTCTCTCTTTTTGCTCTACGGAGTAGTAGTATCTTGCTCTGTTTGCTTTCTGTTCATTGTTCGGGCCCGCGGGCCCCATCCATCCATACTTAGTAGTTGAACTAACTGCTCTAAACGAAGGATTAAAAATCCCCGGCGATACGCCGCCTGTCTCAAACCACTTATCTACTACGTACTAGACCAACACTAACTAAATCAGGGACCATGGGCTGGCTACCTAGACTGGCCCCCAGCTAAATAAGTTGACTGGGTCTCTGTCTTACTTATGGACACTTCTTTTTGGTTTTCCAGAAAGCCACTACTATTGCTTACTCTTTTTCTTCCATTACATCGAAAGTAAGCATTCTAGATGGTAACTATGGAGGAAAAGGCAAGAGAGAGAGAAAGAAGAAGGGTATGAGGTAAGTTAGGTTGAACAAACAAGCATTAAACGAGTGAAACCCAAACCCCAACCCCAACCCAGAACCAAACCGGAGTTATCCGCTCGGATCTCTCGGACTTAGGAATTAGGAGATAGTATACGTCCTACGTAGGATCTTGTTTTCTTGTGTTACGAGACGTTTGCTTGCTATGTGCTGGGTAGTAGGTTCCAGGCGTTTACTCTCTGCCCCCTCCCCTCCTCTCCCTTGTTTGTCCGTCTGTCTGCTTTGAGGTCAGTGTTGATTCGGCTGGTAGAAAGTTAGTTAACCCAGTAACTGCTCACGAAGTACGCGAGAACGAGTCGGTAAGTAAGTACTAAGGCTAAGGGAAGGGAGGGAGAGAGTAACTAACTACCTAAATACGATGATTGGGTCCGCTAGGGAATGAGTGTGTGAGTGTGCACTGCATCCCACACCCCCCAAAAACGCCAGGGCCAGAACCCTGTCCCTGCGACAACGCGGCGTGCCCGTCGAACCCGCTTCCGGCCAACCCGCTGTCTTTTTTTTTTTGACTTTTTTCCTTTTTGGTAGGTGAGGTGCCGCTGTGCCCCGTCAATCAGTCGCCAACTATGGAGTACTCCGTACTCCATACCTTAACTAACTACTAAAGTGATGTACGAACGACGGGCGGGAAGGGGAAGGGAAGGGCAGGGAATTTTTGGTAAAAAAAGGCTGGAATGTGGAAATATGGGCGGGAGATCGATGCTGGCCCGACCGGCGCGTCGCTCTCCCTTCCTTAGTTGGTTAGTACATGAGTGAAATAATAAGATAAAATTGTTCCCTTTTCTTTTCTAAGAATGTACTTCGTACTTAGTGGGGCTCTGCTTTATGCTGCCTCGCTCGCCAAAAAACGGCAGCAGGAAGAAGATCAAGTAAGGGAAGGGAGAGAGAAAGTTACGAACATGTGTGCTGCTACTGCTGCTGCTGCGCCTCCACAGCTCCCGGCACGACGTGGTACTTGTCCTACAGGGTTGCTAAGTAGTGTGCTTCGATGACTGGTTCTGAGATGTCTCTCGAGTCTAGAGAATTTGGACTTGACCCGCTTGCTGGTTTGTGTCTTTGTCTTTGTCTTGATTTTAGTTAGTTACTATTTACTGCATATGGAGCTTGGATCGAGTGGGTGAGTACCTTTGGAGAACAATGAGGTGACACTAATACGTACTGGCATCTCGATTTCTACTTAGAGATAGATAGATCCTAGCTCAGATTATCAATCAATTCTGAGTACTTTACTAATCAACCATTAGTTATACATCTGACAGTATGTAAGTACTTTGATCATTTTAAGCCTTCAATGTACTCCGTAGCGGCCCGCCCATCTACCTACACCCAACATGGGGGACAGGTTATACTTTGTACCAAGATATCTGATTTCCTTGGCTTCTGCAGGGTTACTTGGTAGATTATACACCATTTTGCTCCGAATAACGAATCTCTCTTTGCACCTCTGAGAAAGAAATACTGAAAAGAGATCAGTAGTCGCAAGGTTGCTACAACCAGCAAGCACTCAATACACACATACTACATACTACATACATATTCTTGCATCGGACAACCCCGATGCAAACTAACCACTTTTATAGCTAGCTGTCTTTCAATCAATCAGTCTCTGTCAAATCCAGACCCCCCTAGCGTTAAGCATCGTACCTACCAGATTCAGTTCTTATTTGCCATGCAAATCAGTACTTACTTACTGTCCACATGATGTGCTCACCTTAAGGGTTAAGATGCGGCTGGCTGGCTGGCTGGCCGGTAATTGCCCGGAAGTAAAGCTGTATGGTCGAGTCCCCTCCATTCTTTGTTTGTATACTACAGACATACATACGGGTGGCGATAGCAGAAAACCAAATAATAAAAGGAAAAAGAAATGAAATGAATGCAAAGCCGAGTTATGCAACTGTTACAGCCGCAGAAAATCCAAAGCCAAATCCAAATCTAAATGTAAATGTACGTTTGCTCCGCTGCACGCCTTAGGTAGAATTAGAACTAGACCAAACCATGCCCGACAGACAGACAGACAGACAGACAGACAGCGTGGCAGACGTTAGATGCATAGAAAGATAGATAGATAGATAGGATAGTAGTATAATAATTGAACAAGGCTCAAATATACGAGTCTACTGCAGCCACACATACCCATACACATACACACAAGGCTGGCTTCTGTCTCGGAGTTAAAGAAACGTTACTGTTACTTCTCTTTCGATTATAAATCTAAATCTAATTATTAGGATGTGATGTGATGTATACTATCCTTCCCGTACTTTTTCTTTTCCATCCCCCCAAGTTTAATTCTAAGTCTTGTACACCGTTCAGAAACGGAGGGAATGTTTCGCTGGCACCAACCATCCAAGGGTACCAATCTATCGCAAGCATCTACGTATCGTATTCATCATCTTTAAGTCAAGGAGGTAGATAGATGGATGAAGAGGAGGCTCAGAATGACCAGGACTAGGTAGGGACCAAGGTTAAACCTAATCCAGTCCACCCCCATCTCTTAGCGTTGCAGCAACCAGGCTAAAGTTGCACGAGGGATGCGCGATGGGCAACAGAATTCCATCAGAAGCCCGAACGGCTCGGACGCCAGGGATTTCCGAAGGGAGAAATCAATCTAGTTTAGACTCGTCTCGTCTAGTCAAGACATGTCGAGACGAGAGGCAGTCAAAGGGTTCCGACCTGACCTGACTTGGTGGGTGGAGTGAGTGAGGGGTGAGGGGTGAGGGGAAAGGGAAAATAAAATGCATCCATCTCGTATAGGCTGAAAGCCCATCCCCCCCCCCCCCCCCCTTTCCCCCTCACCTCACCTGCCAGAGGACTACATTGGTTAGGGGATAGGGGGGTGTGGAATTCGTCATGCATGAGTGACACCAGGAGGCTCAAGAGGAAATAAATTAATGCATTGGCTCTGGCAGTAGTGTAGTATGCAGATACGGAGTCGGACAAGCTAAATGAACATTCATCGGTGAAATCCGATTTCCTTTTCTCTCTAAGTTTTTTTTTTTTTTTTTTTTTTTTTTTTTTTTTTTTTTTTTTTTTTTTTTTTTTTTTTTCTCGTACAGTAATTTATTACTATGAATACTATCTGGGAGGAAGAGGAAGATGGGAAAGCCTTGTTGATTGGTGGTAAGGCTAGCTGGATGCCTTGTCTGTTGAAAGCTGGATGGGGGCCTCATGACTCACGCACTCATGGCACACACAATAACCACTAAATCCTTCAGGCAAAGTACGAATTGTGATGGTCTAACTAGACTACTTACTACTCCATACAGATTCGTTATCAGTTGGACGCCTAATTCGCAGAAGTTAAAGAATCTATTAAAGTTCTCATCGTATATTTTCTTACTAGTATACTATACTATCTCATTGTTAACGCCACGGAGGGGGGCCGTAAACCCGCATTACAAATACGATGATAGCTACAATACTGAGTATATTATGCATCGGACGGACAGAACATCTCTCCGACTCCGATCGGAGGGAGTCAGTCAGGTCATCACTTTAATTTCCCTCTTTTGTTTTTTTCGATTTACCCGTTCAGGGTCTGAAGATTACGCTCGACCGGTCGGTCGGTCGGTCGGCCGGACCGGATGAATACTCCCTAAACTAGATAGTAGTTTCTAGTAGTGAGATGGTGCCATTCTAGACTCCTGCTTATTAGTATTATCCTAATTGTTCTGTGGGACTTGAGAAATACCACGTGTGATCCTGCGATCCTTTCGTTCTGCTATCTTTGGTAGGTGCCTAGCTGTTTACATCATGTCTCATAGTAATTTATTTGAGGAAATTTAGTAATATGTGTGATGTGATAGCTTGAACAGGAAATGGCTAGCGATAGTAGATGTTGGATGCCTATTGTATTGCTGTGCTGGGGGCAAGAGATGGTTCTTTCACATGTACGATCACAATTGCTGGCTACTAGATTGACAATACTCAGGCAGTAGACTTGTAGTGGTCATTCTAGGCAATAATATTCCTGAATATAGACGCCTACTACTACAGCTACTACTGACCCAGGTATATAGTAGGATCGTGATGGTGGAGAGCATATATTTCATGCTCTTATATATACTATACTATACTATACTATTCTATATACTACTCCGTATATTCCATAGCACTACACACTAGCTGCATCGGAGATGCTAGGGTAGTATTCTATCATCCACAAGTATACCTTTTTCCTGATTAGGAAATACCTATCATAGACAAAGAGAATTTACTATCTAGCTGCAGGACGTTTGACAGAATGCCGAGTTATGCATGTGCTTATCTATGGGGTGAGTTAGTGCCGAGTCAGATATGAGTTTGTCATCTTTTCTATATACATACTAAATTAGAGTGTTTGATTATTACAATTACGATCGAGTGTAATGCCTGGTTTGATCTGATGCTATTCCTGTGTTCTATGCTAGGCAACGATGAATAGAATAGATGTAGCCTGAGATGGAATCGAATATAGCTGCCTATTCTGGTGGAATGGGAAGTAGGCATGTGCATACGTATGATATACGTGTATTCGGTCTCTAGAATGTGGCCGCCTGATGCACATGAACTGTATGATAATTATTTACGTGATAGCTGATTCCGTATGTGTCTTCTGGGTAGGTAATGGAGGGGATAGGAGTCACAGGCTTCGTGGTTTGCTACTGATGGACCAGACCGAGTATCTTTGGGGAAACCACCGGCGGAAGAATAGTATATGTTCTTACGAGCCACGATGTTGGTCGCGGTCAAGCTGCATGTTCAGTCTACATCATGAACTCTACTGCACCTCATCATCAATTCATACAATCATACTTTATCCATGATTCTCCTCTGTACTGTATTCGAACGTGAATCTGTACGCCAAAGACGAAGAAACTCGACTCAACGACGCCTCGATGCAGGTCAACAGGATGAGCTGAAACGAACAGTGCGAACTCAAGCGAACAAGGTCAATAGACAAGCGTGGTAGAAGTAGTGTATCGGTTTTGCGGGAGATAGTGATGGCCACGAGTAAGAGATAGTGCGGTAGGAAGATAGAGGGTGATGATTCCAAATATTTCACTAGATGGAGCACAGACAGGCAATGGAAGAGATGAAGAGCATAAGAATATATAAAATGAAAAAAAGAACAGAAAGGATTAAGAAAGATGTAAAACATCCCTCAAATAGCTATCCCAACAGAAAAAGCACAAAGACAATGGCGACCCGTTATCCGGCCTCCGCTCCGTTGATGCTCATCTGGTTAGGATTGTATCGCCGTCTGCGCATGGGCGCCTTTTTCCTTTTCGCAATGGCGGCACTCTGTGCGCTGCCGGGGGCGCTCCCCATTTCCGTGTCCCCATCATTATCAGCATTATCAGCCTCCCCGTGCAGCGCCTCGTACCGTGCCAGCTCATCCAATTCCCGAACATCAAGAGGCTTCATCCGCAGCCACTTCATGCGCGGTCCTGAGCGCGAGCGTTCCGACACGCGGAAGCCATAGATTCGAGATTCGTAGATCCGACCCGGTCCAAGACCCGGGCTGAAGTTGACGGTACGCACGCCGTTGATCTCAACAGGCTGGTTGGGAGGGGGCACATCCGGCACCACTTGGTTGTTGATCGAAGATGTCAAGGAGGAGGAGCGGGTCGGTGATAACGCGGCGAGGGAGCTGTCCAGCCGGGGTCCGATATCGAGGTCTGGGAAGGTCATAAAGAACAGGCATCCAAAGGTAGTTCCGAAGAAAGCTCCGTCGACCGAGTGGAACCGACTGTTCGGGGGAGTGTAGAGATCTTGGCAACTAGGGCAGAACAATTTGACCGTCTCTTGGCCAGGCGTGTCGGAACGTCCGACGGGCAGAACCTTGCATCCGTTGCAATAGACTCGCGGGCAGACACCGAAATGTTGCATCTCATACTTTTCAAGCATCTGCTGGATACCGGGCCGTGAAGTGATGTAGCGTTGATGGATCAGTCCGTAAAGCAATTCAGCAGAGCTCTCGATGACGCTCAGATCACTCGCGACTCGTGCATGCCTCCGTTCCCCTGCCCTGCGGTAGCCTGGCGGCTTCTCATCTCCTAGAATCTCGTCCTCATCCTCTTCTTCCTCCTCCTCCTCTTCATCTTCCTCGTCCTCCTCGGGTTCCACGTCCAGGATCATTTCCAAGGCCTCCTTGTACATAGGCACCTGCGATTGCAGCCCTGTCAAGTTGAAGTCATCTTCGATAAAGTCCTCCGACACTTCCGCAAAGAACTCATGACCCATCAGGGAGCAAAACGAGGAGATCCAGGACTCCGGGGCCCCTTCCGAAGACGACATGTCGAAGGAGTCGGACGCGGACGACGAGGGCGTCGATTCAGACAGTTGACTCAGATCCAGCCTGTCTAGGCCGTCGGCCAACGCCGAACCTATCTCTCTCGACACGTTGCCGAGCTAGGGGGAGAAACGACTGCGAAATATCTCGTGCGAGATGAAGCGCCGATTAAACCTGCACCAGATGCAATGGGATCTGGTACGAGGTTCCGAAGTCGAGAGCCCTCCTGTGGCAGGAAGGCAAGAATTGGATGGATAAGGTATGATCGGACTGCAGATGACGTCCGCTGTAGGGCTAATAGAATGACAGAGTGGTGATGAATGTCGCGGTCATGACAGTGTGCGGGCGGGCGAGCGGGCGGGCAGATTGTTGTGCGATGAGGGTGTGTTAACGCGACTGAATTGGGTGGGGGGACTCTTCAGCAAACGATGTCTCCCAGAATCACTGACGGCCACAAGACATTAATAGTGATTGATAAAGTTGACCCTTCCAGATGATAGTGGATAAGGATGGATCACAAATCTCCCTGGCTCTTTCTCTCTCTTCCTGAACCGATCGACGGAGGTTGTCGAGGGGCTTCCGAAATTAGGTTCGTGGGGCGGTCGGGAAAGGTGCTCAAACACGAAGAGGGAGCGATAGATAAGGCAGCTGGCGACGGCAGAGTGATGAGTCGGGGCCCAAAAGATAGACAACAGAAAGACCAGATGTCTTCAGATGCAGAGAAGGTGGGTGGCCACACCAACAGCGATTCACAAGTGGAACATGTTCTGGGATTGGCTTTGGAGGAGGTTGGCGACCGAAAGTCACCCGCCGCTGGCTTTCCCTCCCTCGGTCACGTGGTGATCGACCAGCCTCGACTCCCTTCAGTGTTTCTTCAACTTCTTTACATGGGACAGACATGGTTATACAGGATAACGACGCTTCATGCTACGATTTGAACAGTCGTGGCTACTGTAGATATAGCCTCATCTTCTTTAGAACAAATCTCGGATCACCCGGGACCATTCGCCTTCATCTCCAAGCACTCCCGAGAGCCCCTCCCCCGTGTTCTGGATTTCACCATCATGACCTACAAACCCATTGATTCCCTCGGCCGGCGTCCCGGAAGCCATAAAGTTCCCAAACCCACCTACTGCCTCAAATAGATTCGTGAGCTCATGGCTCATCTGCAGCCCGTTGAGAGGGCTGTTGCCAAGCTCGCCGATCCCATTCATCGGGCCATACACCGACAAATCTTCAATTTGGTGGCCAGCTAACCCGGCCATGGCCACCGCTGCACTTGAATGGGGATCATTAGAGTCAGACCCAAAGGGCCGCATAAGCACTCCCAGCCGTTCGCCGATCTTTCGAAGGCCTTTGATAGCCTTCCAGAGACGCTTCGACACGTAGGACTTTGTACTGAACCCGCTGATCAAGTTCAGCGCCATGTAGAACTCGTCCCGCACCTGTCGGTTGAACTCTGTCGGTGCATGGCAGACAGCAAGGAAGATGACCGCCAAAGCAGCCACGAGGAAGTAGTTGAAGGTGATCTGTTGGCTGCGGTAAATGTCGGATGTCTGATTGAGTCGAGTGAGCACGCGGATAGTGTCTTTTGCGACGTCCACCACCGTCTGAGCATGACCCTTATCCTCGGCAATACTTGCTGCGGAGTGCAGGACGGGCCGGTAGATGAGGATTCGGAGCTGATTCATGCGGAGATACAGTAGAACCCTTAGTCGCCTCAGGCCCCGGTTCGTCGACTCCACATGACCATTCTTTGGAGATTCGATTGGATAGAATTTCAGGGCATCTGGGACTTGCTTGTACCACTGCAGGATCTGGTAATCCAGATAACCTATCTCGTCCCGACGTATATCCGTTGCACCCTCAGAGCCCAGCCCGGAATACCAGATCTTCGAGCTAATGCGATTGTATGATATCATTGATTTCAGATACGGCAATGAAGCATCCTAAGGGGGCAATTAGCAGCTGACCAATAAAGTCTTTATGAATGATGTAGCTCACCGGCTCCGGGAGGTTAGGGTCGATGTCTTCATCCTGAATGTTGAAAGGCAGCCCTGTCCCGAGACTCCACCGTCGATCCAGACTGTAGATTGTCCAGAAAGTCTTCACCACGGCAGGCCATTGTTCTTCATCCGGGAACATTTTGGTCAGGGCATCGCGCCGATGCAGACCCATCTCAAGACACATGCGTGCGGCCAGGCCGATGATGCGATAAGCCATGGCATCATCGTCCATGTGAAAATGGAAAGTTGCCTGTCGTTTAATGCGTTAGCGTAACCCGACTGAACAGAGCGATATACCTACAATCATGCCATATATCTGGATGGTCTTGATGTCGAGCGTATCCCAGAGTTTGGATTCAGCTATTGGCTTCACGCTCAGATACAGCCGCTGTCCGAGCTCGCTTTGGCCACCTCCCTCCACGATCAGCGTTATAGCAAGTATCATCTTCAATAGAACCGTGCTGTCATCAGTAAGACCATCAGCACCAGGCAACCCCCGTTGCGCAAACCCCGTGCGTATCGCTGATTCCATGAACGTGTATAGCAGGTTCACTTGCTGGGCGATATGGTCTATATCTACTAGCGGATACATGATACCAATCTCCTCTTCGTAGACACGACACAGACGCAGAGCTTCATCTCGCTTGATGGACCATATCGGATCCTTGGTGGGGTGCATCGTGAGAAACGACGGGCCCACATGGGGAGGAGAGCCAGCCGGTGTAACCTGGGCCGTGGTCAAATCGTCTGGTATGACTTCCTCTGGCGGAGCGATGCCCATATTCTGTAGACTAGACCTTGCGACATCAAAGTTAAAAGCAGAGCTGGTAGGCCCCTGGAACCGGGGATGCCTTATGCGTGGTTTGCTCAACGGGGCTTGCATAGGCGTGAACACCGACTGCGAGCCATCACGAGAGAAGGCGTCGAAGTTTGGAGAGTCGATGGACGACCTTTGCGACCGAAGATCCTTAAGATTGGTAAAAAGACTATTTACCTGATCCTGCAATGTCTTGATTTGGTCTGTCATCGACCGGAATTCCCTGGTGGTGGAGAACGGGTTAGCTGAGGATCATGATAACATACTGCAGGGAAAGAAGCCGGAAATAATGATCGACGTACTCGGAATCTTTAAAGTTATTATTGCAGCAGTTTGGGGCATATCGACCTATGGAGATGGTAAGTCGCGTTTGCCATGTGTATCACGGAGCTACAGCGATAAGCTGACTGACATTCGAGGTTAAGGTGTCCACAGCGTTGGCAGGGGACCTGGCCATTGCATTTGATCTTCCGCCTCTTGCATTCGTTACTAAACGGGAAATACAGAATTAATCAGCTAACAGATAAGAGAAAATATGCTAAGCCAGTGACAAGAGGGTTCAACATGGGTGGATGGCAGCAAGCCGGATCATACCACGCGATGGAGATGTAGCGATTCCGCTTGGAACGAGTATGAGTTCCGTTGGCCGGTTCCGCTTTCCTCTTCGCGGTATCAGCGTCCGGGGTGGCATTCTGGTCGCCAGAATCTGGCTGGGGTGGTGCCATATCAACCTGCGGCGACTCCGAAGACATTTTGGATGGAAATCAAGTTGGGACGATTGGTTGTTGGCGCGAAAGAGAGCAGCGACCGGTGCGGAGGGATTCCTTTCGTTTGCTCGATGGCGCGCGGGGTTTCCGTTTCCCCAGATGGCCGGACCGGGAAGGGATCGCCGACGAGGAGATTCAGGCCCGGCGCTTTTATTCTTATAAGCTAATGGAAAAGACTCCTAGCATAAAGTGGGTAAGTACAATGTAGCTGATCCTGATGATGGTCAAATGACAGGTCGGTTGTTTGCCGTCTAATTTCCAATTGGGTTGTGAAGGTAAAAAGACCGAGCGAGATCTGTCCATGGTTTATCTTCAGCACCAGCTGACATGGCATCCTTATCAGCCCTTGCTTGTACTGTTGACAACTCCACTAGTTATGGCTTTCCCTGATAAACTATAGGTAAACATATCATAAGAAATCTAGTAGATGAAGTCACCAGTAAATCGAAATGAAGGATAGAGAAGGATAGGATGAAGAGCTACCAAGGTCGTAGGCTGACCGGCAACTGGTCAATCCCAGTCGGGGCGGAAATTCCCCGATCTGCACCTTGTCAAACCGCACGTGCAGCAGCAATCCAAGCAGCACTGAACAGTGGATACGGAGCTTTCCCAACCCACGTCTCTGGATGACTGAACACTTGGTCTTCTGAATGAAGCTCCAACAATGTCTGCCCAACAATAACCTCAGGGTTTGGCACCGTCTGTCGTCCGTCACCCTCCGGTTCTCTTCAAACCAACCACGCCAACAACGTTGCTTTACCTCCACGACGTCCCGTCCATATCGCCCCCTAGATACCCTCAACGATGTCGACATAGACGATTTCCGCAAGACCTACTTCACTCCGGAGCTTCCTACAATCCTCCCTCGGGGTTCCTTTCGCGATTTTCCTGCCTTTGAGCGTTGGTTCCAGCCCGCTCCGACCGACCCAAATGTATCTCAACTGAATACAACATACCTTGCCCAACATGGGGCCGACGCCTTCGTTCCGCTGGAACTCACACAGCCATCCTCCGACGGTACCGCCGAGACAGGAGCAGACGGGCTCACCTTCCAACAATTTCATGCGCCGCTGAGTTTGTTCCTTGACTGGATTCGTACAGCAGAGACGCTCGAGACACAGTCCGCTCGGTTGTATCTAGCGCAGTGCCAGCTCCTAGATCTACCGCAGGTACTCCGTGATGACTTTCCAACACCCGAATTAGTAGCGCAGGCCGGAAAAGGTGACGTTTACGACACCAACGTTTGGATCGGACACCCGCCCACGTACACGCCTCTTCATCGGGACCCGAATCCCAATCTCTTCGTTCAGCTCGCGGGACAAAAGGTAGTAAGGCTATTATCGCCTGGCGATGGACAGAAGGTATTCGGGGCCGTGAGACGGCAGCTTGGACGGAGCGCAGGTCGTGAGGCAGCTGCGATTCGAGGAGACGAAATGATGCAGGGTCAAGAAAGGACACTATTGGAGCAGGCTGTCTGGGATGAGGTGAAAGCTGTGCCGGGGCTAGACGGATATGAAGCACATCTCGAAGCGGGGGACGGAATGTTCATTCCCCGGGGATGGTGGCATAGTATCAAGGGCGTAGGAACAGGGGTGACGGCGTCGGTAAGTGGGATTAAGTGTGCGCCTATGACTCTTTCTGACTATCTATCAACAGGTGAACTGGTGGTTCCGCTGATAATCAGCGTGTGATGGATGGATAAGTAGACTTGTAGATATGGTAATGTTCGGGGCTGCATCTATATCGAAACGGATACAAGCTACACTAAGACAACAAGACAAAAATAAAAGTAAAATAAATACCCAGTATAAGCCCAATACTATGTACACAACAAAACCCAATCTACATAATCCAATAAATACAATCAAATGGGCAATCCGAACGCCCAAGACCATAGAACAAACCCAACGTTCTAGAATCCTCTTTTCGACTCCGCCCGCCTTCACTCCACATCCCAAGATTTCGCCAACGACATCATCACCCTTCCTCTCAATTTCTCTTAATCAATCAAACCCCCCTCACACCACCACAACCAGCCCACCAACATAAACAAAAAGAAAATAGAATATAATGTACATGTCCTCCACCCTCACCCGCGCCTCACTCATCAACCTCCTCCTCACGACGACCGCCCGCATCGCACCCGCATCCGCAACACTCACAACCACCACAACCACAATCACAAGCCATTACACACCGCGCCACTTCCTCCACCAAGCAACCCTCCCTCTCCACCCTCACTGCTCAGCAATCCATCTCTACAACAACGCCAATAAATACCAAAACCAGCAAAGCACTCACTACTCCACAATGAGCACACCCAACGAGCAACAACAAACTCAACAAGAACAAAGAGAAGAGGAAAAGAAACCCATCCTCGCTCTCCCAGACGCCGAATCAGCTACGAAACTCGACGTTAGCGGGGACGGATCAGCTGTTGCATTGGATCACTTGGGTCCTGTGGTGGTGAATCAGGATGGGACGTTATCGCGCATCTCGAATTGGGAGGCTATGACGGAGATTGAGAAGAAGAATACGTTGAGGGTGTTGGGGAAGAGGAATAAGATGCGGTTGGAGGCGTTGAAGAGGGAGAGGGGGGAGGGGAATTAATCTTGTTTCGTTGTGTTGAGTGAGGGGTTGTAGTGGTGGATGGTAGATGATAGATGGTAGATGGTAAACGGTGGAGATTGAGATTGGGGGATGTATTATATCATGATGGAAAGGGTGGGATATACGTGTGTTTTGTATGATATTTGATCGGTTCGGGTTACGCTGTAGCGATTTCATTGTTTATCTTCAAAGCTTTTTTTGGTATCATCTGCTCAGGAAAGAAACGAGAAATGAACTTCTATCCAAATAGCCTCCCAGGTTTTTCTCTATACGTTGTCTCATGATGCTGGTCTAACCGAAAACCATATCGTTGAATCTCGTGAATGCGTTACTGTGTGCGATCGTTAGCTTTCTGACCTCCATCAGTATACCAGGTAGACCTACCTCGATGGTTCCTCAACATAATTCCTGGTATAAACTTCCACTTCTTCTACTCCAGTAACGATATCAACTTCCTTAGGACTCAGGAACTTTGTACGATGCCAGAGTTTCCATCCCACATAGATAACAGGGAACACCCCGATCATAGTATACGAGAAGAAGAAAGTCGGAATGTCCCAGTTGCCGGGTAGGAAGACCGTGTAGCCGCCCACGAAAGTCATGACGAAAGTCGACACCAGGGCAATGTACGCGACATAGGGCTGGCCTCGGCTCTGATAGGGGAGGGATGCGCGAGGGACACCCTGGGCCATGAGGGCTTTTCTGAACCGGGTGTAGGTGAAGGTAATGACGGTAAAGTTGATCAATTGGGATGCAGTGACCTGGTTTGTGTTCTTTTTAAGTATCTGCAGACGAAGTAGGTGACAGGCGACTTACAAGATTAACAAACCAATTCAGCACGACAGCTGAACCGTTAGAGACCTGAAGGAAGGACAACAGCGCAAACACGAACACTATCAAGACGCAGTATATCGGCACACCAGATTTTGTACATTTCGTGAAAAGGCGCGGAGCCTTGCCATCCAGAGCAAGGCCGTACAGACTTCTGCTGGCGCAGTAGACGTAACTATTTCCGGCACTGAAAGCAGCGAGGAGAACCATGGCATTGACGATGTGTGGCAGAATGGGGATTTTCAGCCGATCCATGGCGACAACATACGGTGATGCAGCTGCACCAGGCAGGTCTTGCTCATATGCAGCAGCCAGGTTGGGATCATTGTAGGGAACCAAGATACCGATGCAAAGCACACCGAGAACAAAAAAGGTGGTGAGTCGATAGAAGATGCCATTGTACGCTTTGGGCAGGATTTTGCGGGGGTTGACTGCTTCGCCGGCAGCCATAGAGACGTAGTCTGGACCGGCAATCGTGAAACTGGCTTGAATGAGGCAAGCAAGGAACCCAAGCCATCGGCCTAGATCTCCGGTCTTGTAGTATTCGGCAAAAGCCCCGGGGTTCTTCCAGTAGCGGAATCCAAAGCGATCGCCGAGAGGGTTGCCTCCGAGCATCACAATAAATGTGAAGAAGATCAGGCCCACACTAAGCAAGACCTTGCTCAGGGAAAGCCAGAATTCGGCTTCGCCATACCACTTCACTGCAAAGATGTTGAGTAGCCTGATACTTGTTAGCTTGCACTGTTTCAAGTTGCACAGGAAGTATGCTTTAATCCAGAGCATAACATACGCGAAGAGCACAAGCACAATTACAATAATCGCAGCGACAGGGACTGCATCGCTCCAGTAAGTGATGATCAAGTTACACGCTGTAACTTCAAATGGCACCATCGCGGCTTGAAAGATGAAGAAGTTGTAACCGGCAGCAACGCCAAAGGCCTCGTCAACATATCGAGTTGCAAAGCGGATAAAGGGCGAGGAGATGGGCAAATATGTGACCATCTCAGCCAGGCCTAACATAGACTTATCTTAGTGGAAAGCTACTTCAAAGGGAACAAATCCGCGGGCCAAATTGTTGCGACGAAATCAGAGAGGCCATTGGGAAATCGGCGCTTTGGGACATGCAGACAAATCGCACAGGTCGCAAATGGCAGCTTTGGTGTCGCTAGCGGCATGAAGAGAATTGGGAGGGCTTCAAGATCGCAGGGTAAGGGAATCCGTACAAACAGTTATACATAGAATGACAGCGGACCTATATTAACGAGGTATAAGATTCCATATATTTAGCAGCAATATGCATCAGAAAGGTAAGGCTAGGCAATCCCGAAATTCTGCTGTCTCTAGGGTGAAGCACACGTCAGGAACAAGGTAGCAGTTCACACTGCTTGATCTACGCATAGTGCATGGGGTCTCTGATGTTCACCAACGTCCTTGTAGCTGCTAATGGATGGGCGAAAGCAGGTTCGTGTACTTTGTGCTTCCGACTCAAGAAACTTACCTATGAACGAGACCCTTTGAGACAGCTCACAAGATGAGAATTGCAGCACCGTGAGGAACAACGAAAGACAATGGGAGAAAACGGTAGGAGTAGGACTAACCAGATAATAAATGCGATGAAGAGACTAGCAGGGCCACCTTCTATCAGTGCCTTACCAATCTGGACGTACAACACGGTCCCGACTGTGCCACCGATACCAATGAGCTGGATATGTCTGGGCTTCAGCTTGCGATGCGTATGATCGTAGGCAAGCTTCTTGGAATCATCTTCGAGTACTTCTTCACTGTCACGAACGACAGCGTCCTTCTCAGAGCGTTCCATGGCGGCTTCTTTACTCTCTTCGCCGAGTCCTTGAGGGCTGATTGTGGGGGAATGCCTCCCGGTGTGTATGGCAGATGTAAAAGCCATACTGTGGCTAAAATTCACCGAGCCCCAGCAGTGGACAAGTTAAGTAGAGAAAAGCAAATCCAAAGACATTAGACGAAATATGAGGCACGAAGATAAGAGGAAAGGAAGTGAGTTACTTTTGTAGAAAAAGAAAAAGAGAAGGCGGGCGAAGGGAAACCGCGAAGAAAAATGGTGGGCTAGCTAGACCGGTCAAGAACGGTTCTCGCCATGCGGATATCCCTCATCATGGGGCATTATTCGGCAGCAGACATTTTAGTCAATTGTGGTCTAGGAATAAATCGTACAAAGGGAATCAAGGAGACAAATCACAGTACGGAAGCCGACTTTACGGCTTCGGCGACTCCATTGGGAGACCCCACAATGGCGGGCAGATACAGTTGTGCGTGGCGTTTGAGCAAAACATGGTGCTCGCTTTAACCTTGTCCTTACTTGCTAGTTCTACCCTACTTGATTGTATTAATCCACGCTAACCTCTACACTGCATTCTCCTATTGACTCGAATTCATGATGATTGATAAGAGAGCTGGAAGACTAGTCACACAATATATGTTGGTGTGCTAAGTCACACTGTATACGAACTTATCTGACCCTACGTAACCTTCTGCGTCGGGTATTATCTTGTAGATTCAACACAGACAGATCGGCCATCTAGGTGTCCAATCAGCTTGAAATAATATTTTCGTGTAACCTGTGATCGGTGCCACTATTTGCCGTTGCATGGAAGCGATGGATATCCGTGAATACAGAATAAAAGTGCCAGGCAGCCACATCTGCAAGGTAGATGGCAGAACCCAAGACATTTGTATGCCAGGAAGGCATACCCCCGGATTGTAAGGTCTTCAAGCCTGACAGAGGAGGCGAAGTCGATGATAAGAGCCATCTAGGCTAAGACCAAATGTGGTAAAGCACATTAGTTGCGGCACCTCCGGATTGGTTTGCATGTATCAATGACTGCAGCCAGTCGCAGATAGTCAATAGCTGGTTGCAGCTGAGTAGTATACTACCGAGCCAAATGGCACGCACGGCACATAAATGCCACGGGCAGCAAGGGACCCAAGTATGAGGGGCAGAAGGAAAAGTTGAAGTTAAACCTCGGCCGGGGATGTCCCGCCCTAACTGTTTTGGGGAATTGCCGTGGCATTCAGCCGGGGAGTCACATGAGTGACTCCAGACTGTCAGTTGACAAGTCTGGTATGGACATTGGTGGCAGAAAGGCTTTTGTGAGACTGCAGGTTAAACAAGTTCTTAAAACTGTGCATTGCAGACCTTAAGACACTTTAACTTAGCTGCAACTAACCAACGAGGTAGTAGCAGCTAGGGCACCATAGGTCTGGCGCGATCTAGGCCGTACATGATACTAATCCCAGACTGACTAGAATGACAATACTAAGTAATCCTTGTTCCAACAAGCGCCCCTGTAATCGCCCCTTGAGATAGCATCTGCTGTCATGCGAGCCTCTGTTCCTGCCTTCCCTGTGGCGACTTGTATCCGTGTGATCTCAAGACCCAGAAAGGGAGAACGGATTCAACGGACATGGTGCTAATTCTAGGCAATTTCCCATTCATTTTTGAACCTCGAAGTTTCAACAAATATGGAAAATTGTTCACGCCATGACGCCAGTTAGAAAGAACCCTTGATAAAAGCAAACGTCACAGTCGATTCATGCGAGGATATCTTGTGTCATTGATCATGTTCGCATCTCAGTTTGGGAATTTTTATCCGAGACCTTCGTACCATCTCCATGTTGAGTAGGCGGTGCCTTCCCTAGCCAGGCTGGAGGGAAAAAGCCATCGTTGTCTTCGTAGTGGAGGTAATGCGACAGATCGGACTCCTCCGAGATCGATCTGCGGTCTCTTTCTGCATCATTGCCATGAGAGTCCCGAGCAAGGGATGGGGTCTGGATGGTTCTCGGCTGACTACTTTGTTGTGTGGACATTTTGTGCGCTATCTGGAAGTTTCTCGTGATAAATGGGATGACAAGGAGGATCCGAATGGATAGTCCAGTTCTGTATACACAAGATACAACGGTTTGCAACACATATAGACAAAGATGGATGTCGCGTGTGATGCTTGCTTATATGATAGATGCAGTTGGCCATCAGGCATCTTTGACGTCAGAACTATTGGTGCCAATCACGGGGCTTCCAGAGTAGGCAATTCTCTACAGATGCGGAAAGGGGGCTCAGTCGCCAACCAAACTGTTGCGATCACGTTTCTTACAGTTCGCTGACTTCCTGCATGCATAATTCAGAGCAACCACCG